ACATTTATGTAACCATCTCCACATATTGATATGCTAATGTTACTTGTACCAGGAATACTTTTATGGCCTCACAAGATCTCTCCCCCATATGCTAATGTTGCAAATTTCGGTGATTTGCTTTTCTATAAAATTGGTGGGCGACCACAGGCACATATCGGCTCTAACCGTTGGTGCAGATCCTGTTGCCAGCCCTCTGAGATTAGTGCCTGTGAATTTGACCGGATTTGCTGCATTCAGTTCTTGCTCTTTCTTATGCCAAAGAACCTGATCAACTCTCTCAATTACTTGTTACATAGGCGAATGATAACCTCTCTAGTATTATACTAATCCCCCTAATTAGGACATAAGAAAAGAAACATTTTGGTGTCTATTATCATTTATTCCATGGGACTATGAGATAATGTACATAATTAGCTAGTCTTAGATACATGGTAATGGGGCGGGGTGGGGCGGGGATCTCATTCACCGTACCCATCCCCACCCTCAAAATCATTCCCCACCCCGCCCCATCCCTGTTACTGGGTAACAGAATCTCCTTCCCCACCCCAAAGGGGGATTGTTGAGATTCGTACCCCGGCCCCGTTAATTTTATATAAACATAAATTAATTTGAGCATTACCAAACACAATAGTTAATTCTCGTCCACATGACAAACACTTAAATTAATCATTTAAATATAATTAATTATACATAAATATGGGTCAGGGTTTGTTCTTGTTCAATTGTTTAGGGTGAGGAAAATTAGGAAAATATGAGTTTATACAGGTAGGATAATTGTGCAATTAGGTGAAATATAGGGATATTAGTGAAAAGTAAGTATATATATACATTTTTTTAATTTTATATATTATATATGGGGCGGGTCGGAGGAAAGGCATCACCCACCCCCGCCCCATCCCCGAGGACGTGGATTAAAACACCCCCCACCCCCGCCCCTATCCCAAAAAAAACCGGGGTTTCCCCACCCCATATGGGGCGGGGCGGGACGAGTCCCCAAAATCTTAGGGAACATTGTCATGCCTAGTCTTAGAGCATCTCTAAAGGACTTTTTATATGACCCAAACTCTTTATTATAAAGAGTCTATCTATAAAAACAAGAGTCCAACAGACTTTTTATCCTTTAAATATAAATTAAAGAGTGAGTTTGACTCTCCATATCTAGAGAGTCAAATTCTACTCTATCCTAATTTTAATTAATAAACTATAAGTTTCTATGCATTTTATTTATTAATTCTCTCTCTCATTAAGTCTATTTCCTGAAAATAAAGAGCATTTTCATTATATTTAAAGAGTCCATTGGATTTGAATAAAAAATGTGTTCTTTATATTTAGAAATTAAATGAAGATGCTCTTTATTTATATTAAAGATATTCTTTAAAATAAAGAACACCATTGGAAATGTTCTTACAATGAATTGGCACTTGAAAATTTACTCTGGCTAGTGTCATCTTATTCGTGATTCTTCCATAATGGAAAAAACTTTGCTGATTTGGAGAGTGTAATAATTGGTGTTGGAGATCTAAGCACCCGAAGAATAAAATTATGCTCTCTCTCTCTCCCTCATTTCTGATTACATCACATATTTTTGCTGCAGCAATGTCGCCGGTTTTATCTATATCACAGAAATCGACACACAGAGGTTTGAAACTGAGTTCTTATTTTGGAAAAAAGCATGTTTTGTGGTTATGCCGGTTTTGTTTTCTTCAATTAATATAACATTTTATGGCCACAGGAAGACAGTTACATATCTTGGACCATCAGCAGGGAATTTTCCAAGCAAATATCTGCTCATGGGAACTTTGTCATGGCTTGAAACATGAAGCATCTTCACGACAAAACCAGACACGGTTTGATCATATAGTACTCAAAACACAGTTCTCTTTTCCATAACTAAATGCAAATTGTTTTTTTTTAGCTTTATAACCTTGTTCAAGATGTAACTAGGGTTTCGCCGCCTTCTGTATAGTAGTTAAAACGCACAAGCTTCTTCCTAAAATGTACACTGTTATTCAATCAGTTAAAATCCTTTTAGAAGTTGCAAATTTCTTAGCCGATTTTGTTCTCAGTTGAAAACTCTGCCATTTTGTTTTCATCTTACTATAATATCTTTTAACTTTTTTTCAGTCTTATGAAATAGTTGTATTTCTTTAACTGTCAGGATTTATTTAATTTTGTTTGCTGTGCAAGTAATTACTGATGCTAACAATTAGTGAGCTTATTTAGTGTTTGCTTATTCACTTTGCTTCACATATTTGTACTGCAGGTGTTAAAAAAAATTGCATAAACGAAACCGAACCGTTTTCCAGTTATCGAAAAACTAGTTTAGTTTCGGTTCAATGAAATACATAAACCAAATTTTCAGTGATCGGTTTAAAGAATTTATAAAACTGGTTAACCGGAACCGGTTTTATTAACCGGTTTTCACTTTAAAATAAAAAAAACCCTATATCCCCAAATCTATTTCTCTTTTAATCTTTACCATTTATGCATTTCTCCTCCTCTTTTTTTTTTAACATACAAACACTGATTTTAGAATTTAGTGTGAGATTTAGACCAAATAAAGTGGGGAATATATTCATAGGGAAGTTGAAAACAAAAGCAAAAATAAGTTAAAAGGAAAATTGGTTAATCGGTTTTTACTAACCAGTTTTCCTCTTAATTGGTTCAGTTTCAGTTCAGTTCAAAAAAGTGGTTAATCAGTTCAGTTAACTAATTATAAACACCCCTAATTTGTATTGTAAATAGTTGCATTTTTTTGGGTGGCTTATTTTGTATTTTTTCGGAGGTTTGTTCAATGCAAGGTGTTTTTAGATTGCCATCTCTAGATATCTAGAGATGGCAATGAGCCTGGTATTTTGGGTTGAACTGCGTCACGTACCTGAAAATGCCAAACCCATTGTCATCTCTAGATATGTGTTTGTCTGTCGAATCAAAGAATGTGTAAACCCTACATGAGAAGATATGTACGACGTGTGGTTATATGTCCATCCAATAACCTAGAAAAAGAATATACACTAATTTCTTGTCATATTGTTTGTTTTGCTCTATTTATTTATGTAAACACAACCCTAAAGGTTCGTTTGGGAGTTTCATGGAAACGGTTATGAAACGATTATGAGGTAAACCTTCGTAGCGGTTTTAAGAGATTTTTAGTAGCGGTTTTTAAAACACGCAACCTATGCCTAGGAGTTTATTTTCTAACGGTTCTAACAGTTTTTTAAAATGACAAATTTACATATATACCCATAAAAATACCCAACTTCAACCAATTCTTAAGAGTTTTATTTTTTCAATTACAAGGTAAAAGCTATTTATTTGTTTTCTACTCATTAGTATTTTATAATTTCAAATGTAATAAAATCTTCTTATTCTTCTTCGTCATTCTTTGCAACATCTTGAATAATTAAAAAATTGTAACTCGGCTTTTCTAAAAAAGCATCTAGAAATAAGATTTTAATAATTTTTTTTATGATTGCTTCAAATTATTTTATATTTAATATGTTTGGATATGGGCATAATATGGTTAAAAAAAAATTTTTGATATAATTGAGATAGTTTTGTAGTAGATAGGGTATTTGTTAAATAAAATTTTAAAACCGACCAAAACACTCCAAATTGGAGTGTTTTATAAACCCCTCAAAAGTACATTATACTAGTTTTGAAGGGTTTTTTAGCCAGTCAAAACCAATGCATAAAAAATCTGACAAATAATGATTTTAGAATATCTCAAAACCAAGTCTAATTAAAAACCCCTCAAAACCAATGAAAAAAAAACTCCAGCGCAGACCCTAACAAAATATCATCTAACAATAGTTCTGTGTATATGTCATGGACGCTACGACAACAATTTACAGAGACTGAAAGCTTGATCCTTGAGAAGCATTCAAGGGCAAAGCGCCAGTTCCTTGAGGATATTGTAGCATATCACACTTCACACCAGAAATGATGTAGCAAAAGAACAAAAATTTATAATCGACTTTCCTAGATTATCGTAGCTGAATATAACTGATTTTTTGACCCCAAAAATTCATAAAACAAATATGGCTAAGGATCAAAACTGGATACAAGTCACATAAAATGTTATCAAACTAAACCAGATTGCATGTAAGGACGATCAAAACCTGAATGCTTCAATGATGGGGTTCGTAAAGTAATAGGAATGTTAGAAACAAGCCAAGATCTACGAGAAATACAGGTTGCAGAACGGCAACTAAGCACAGAAAACGTAGAACTCAGAAGTGATAAATAAAGAAGCAAAACAGAAACTAAGGTCAAACTGGAAATGATATAGTTCAAAGCTATAAATTCAGAACTATGATTACATTAGAAATGAGGATCACTATGAATCAAAATGTCAAGCTTCCGTAAAGCACACTGGGAGATTTCTAATTCTAGAGTAGTGATATAAATAAATATGCAATGCAATAAATTTCAAGGAAGATGTCTCATTCACGGCCAGATTAAACTGAATTTACCAAAAATTCAAACATTAATCAGAGACAAGGTCCTACTCTAATGCTTGTGAAGCTACCAATGACGATGACCAATTGACCATACAAAGCCAATAATACTAATAACACAAAATTATTCGAATGAGAAACTCGATCATACAAATTCCTTGGAATCGCTCTGAATGAGAAACTCGATCATGCAAATTCCTTGGAATCGCTCTAAATGAGAAACTTGATCATGCAAATTCATTCTAATCACTCAATGAGAAACTCGATTCATGACCTTACATTATTTGATAAAAAGCTAAATCACTCAATCGAGAAACTCGATCCATCCCAGTTCTAAAGATTATTCATTATAACAAATAGAAATCCACATAACAATCACAAACCATTCAAAACAATCCTATGTTGTACTCGAAAAACTAAACCATCACACCTAAAAAAAGCCGAAAGCTAGAAAAAAAAATCAGTTCCAATATCACAAATTCCAGCAAGTTAGATCATCAAACCAAGCTAAATTGTAAAGGTTCAAGCGAGAACGAAATCTAAACAAAATTAGCAAGTCATATTAATTGCATTAATCACATTATCATCAAATCAAGCTAAGCCTAAATCCAAAATCCCAATTCATTGAATCACTTGACAGATTAAAAACAAAATCATAAAATTAAAAAGGCCTCTAATTGTTCAATTTCAAACCTAAAAGATATTAACCTTATTAAAGCAATACCCAGTTGCTAAATGAATCTCAATCTCCAAAACAAAATAAAACCCGTTTTCAGTTAGTCTTTGGATCGGGCATCGGGAACAATCCGCCGCCGGCAGCCGCCCCACGCGGCGGGGAAAAACCTAGAAACTTCTGCAAATTCGTGCGGATACTAATCGAACACAAGAAATACAAAAACGCCATCGAACAATCCGTCGCGTCGTCGCCCACCAGCCCTCGGTGGCTCATCTTCATGACGATTCCAAAGGGTTTAAAGGGTAATTTCGCCACCACTTTGCCTTCGAAAAGGGAATTCAAAAGCCCGAAAACAACGAACAGAACGAGGGCCACAACGGCGCCAGATTTGAACTTGAACAACGAAAGGTCGCGGCTCGACTCCTTCAGGCTGGTCTCAACGCGGTCGATCTTCTTGGTTTTGGATTTTTTGAGGGAGATCTTGGTGGGGTTATCGGTCTTCATGGTTTCGAGCTTTTTGGAGGCTTTGTCGATGGAGGATTTGAGGGATTTGTAGGAGTTGGTGCGGTAGATGAGGAGCCAGGAGATGCATTCGCAAACGATGGCGGTGCAGAAGGAGATGCCGACGACGGTGAGGCTGTCGGAGTATCTGAGGGAGGAGAGGATGGAGGTGGAGGTGGAGGCGGTGGCGGAGGACATGGTGGTGGTGGGGCGGGGGTACGACGGAGGAGTGGAAGTTTGATTTTATGAAATCTGAACAGTTAGGATTGAGATTGAGCTTGAAAAGGATGAAAGAGATTCCCAGTCAAATAGGATAGGTCAGTCACTGTTCGTTTTGGGGATGTCTCTGCTATTTTCTGAAACAAATGTCAACCCTAAAGTTTCGTTTGGAGTTTCATGGAAACGTTATGAAACGATTATAGGTAAACCTTCGTAGCGGTTTTTAGAGATTTTGTAGACGGTTTTTAAAACACGCAACCTATGCCTAGGATTTTTATTTTCTAACGGTTCAACAGTTTTTTAAAATGACAAATTATCAATATAACCCAAAATACCCAACTTCAACCAATTCTAAGGTTTTATTTTTTCATTACAAGGTAAAAGCTATTTTTGTTTTCTACTCAGTATATATAACAAGTAATAAACTCTATCTTCATTCGTCCTTTGAACAATCTGAATAAAAAAGTGTAACTCGCTTTCTAAAAAGTCATCGAGAAAAAGATTTAAGAAATTGGTTTTATGATTGCTCAAGCATGTCTTAGTAATTAAAGTGTTGGATAGTGGCATAATAGTGTTAAAAAAAAGGGGGGAGAGAATTGAAGTAGTTAAGATATGTACGACGTGTGGTTATATGTCCATCCAATAACCTAGAAAAAGAATATACACTAATTTCTTGTCATATTGTTTGTTTTGCTCTCTTTGTTTATGTAAACAGAACACTAAGGGTTCGCTTGAGAGTTTCATGGTAGCGGTTATGAAAGTAAACCACTGAAGCAGTTTTAAGAGTAAACTGCCACAACGGTTTTGAGATATTTTTAGTCATAGTACCATAATGGTTATGAGAGATTTTTAGTAATAGTTTTTAAAACACCCAACCTGTGCTTGAGAGTTTATTTTCCAACAGTTCTGATAATTTTTTAAAATAATAAATCTTATATATATGTCCATAAAAATATCCAACTTCAACCAATTCCTGAGAGTTTTGTTTTTTCAATTATAAGGTAAATATTATTTATTTGTTTTTTACATATTAGTATTTTATAATTTCAAATATGATAAAGTTTTATAGTCCTTCTTCGCCATTCTTTGCAGCATCTGGAATAATTTAAATTATAACTCCACTTTTCCAAAAAAACATCTAGAAATGGAATTTTAATAATTTTTTTTTATGATTGCTTAAAATCATTTTATATTTAATATGTTTGAAGACATGCATAATATGGTTAAAAAAATGTTTAAATATAATTGAGATAGTTTTGTAGTAGATAGGATATTTGTGAAATAAAATTTTAAAACCAACCAAAATACCCCAAATCGAGGTGTTTTATAAACCCCTCAAAAGTATTTTGGAAGGTTTTTGAGCCAATCAAAACCAATACATAAAAAAACTGACAAGTAATGGTTCTAAAACACCTGAAAACCAGTCTAATTAAAAACTTCTAAAAAACACATGGAAAAAAAACTCACACACAGACCCTGACAAAAAATCATCTAACAATAGTTCTGGGTATATGTCATCGACGCTACGACAACAATTTAAAGAGACTGAAAGCTTGATCCTTGAGAAGCATTCAAGGGCAAAGCGCCTGTTCCTTGAGGATACTGTAGCTTATCACACCAGAAATGATGTAGCCAAAGAACAAAAATTTATAATCAACTTTCCTAGATTATCGTAGCGGAATATAATTGATTTTTTTACCCCAAAAATTCATAAAACAAATATGGCTAAAGATCAAAACTGGATACAAGTCACATAAAATGTTATCGAACTAAACCAGATTGCATGTAAGGTCGATCAAAACCTGAATGCTTCAATGATGGGGTTCGTAAAGTAATAGGAATGTTAGAAACAAGCCAAGATCTACGAGAAATACAGGTTGCAGAACGGCAACTAAGCACAGAAAACGTAGAACTCAGAAGTTATAAATAAAGAAGCAAAACAGAAACTAAGGTCAAACTGGAAATGATATAGTTCAAAGCTATAAATTCAGAACTATGATTACATTAGAAATGAGGATCGCTATGAATCTCAAATGTCAAGCTTCCGTAAAGCACACCGGGAGATTTCTAATTCTAGGGTAGTGATATAAATAAATATACAATGCAATAAATTTCAAGGAAGATGTCTCTTTCAGGCCAGATTAAACTGAATTTACCAAAAATTCAAACATTAATCAGAGACAAGGTCCTACTCTAATGCTTGTGAAGCTACCAATGACGATGACCAATTGACCATACAAAGCCAATAATACTAATAACACAAAATATTCGAATGAGAAACTCGATCATACAAATTCCTTGGAATCGCTCTGAATGAGAAACTCGATCATGCAAATTCCTGGAATCGCTCTAAATGAGAAACTTGATCATGCAAATTCATTTAATCACTAATGAGAAACTCGATATGACCTTACATATTTGATAAAAAGCTAAATCACTCAATCGAGAAACTCGATCCATCCCAGTTCTAAAGATTATTCATTATAACAATAGAAATCCACATAACAATCACAAACCATTCAAAACAATCCTATGTTGTACCCGAAAAACTAAACCATCACACCTAAACAAAGCCGAAAACTAGAAAAAAAATCAGTTCCAATATCACAAATTCCAGCAAGTTAGATCATCAAACCAAGCTAAATTGTAAAGGTTCAGCGAGAACGAAATCTAAACAAAATTAGCAAGTCATATTAATCGCATTAACACATTACATCAAATCAAGCTAAGCCTAAATCCAAAACCCAATTCATTGAATCATTTGACAGATAAAAACAAAATCATACGATTAAAAAGGCCTAATTGTTCAATTTCAAACCTAAAAGGTATTAACCTTATTAAAGCAATACCCAGTTGCTAAATCAATCTCAATCTCCAAAACAAAATAAACCCGTTTTCAGTTAGTCTTGGATCGGGCATCGGGAACAATCCGCCGCCGGCAGCCGCCCCACGCGGCGGGGAAAAACCTAGAAACTTCTGCAAATTCGGGCGGTACTATCGAACACAAGAAATACAAAAACGCCATCGAACAATCCGTCGCGTCGTCGCCCACCAGCCCTCGGTGGCTCATCTTCATGACGATTCAAAGGGTTTAAAGGGTAATTTCGCCACCACTTTGCCTTCGAAAAGGGATTCAAAAGCCCGAAAACGACGAACAGAACGAGGGCCACAACGGCGCCAGATTTGAACTTGAAAACGAAAGGTCGCGGCGACTCCTTCAGGCTGGTCTCAACGCGGTCGATCTTTTGGTTTTGGATTTTTTGAGGGAGATCTTGGTGGGGTTATCGGTCTTCATGGTTTCGAGCTTTTGGAGGCTTTGTCGATGGAGGATTTGAGGGATTTGTAGGAGTTGGTGCGGTAGATGAGGAGCCAGGAGATGCATTCGCAAACGATGGCGGTGCAGAAGGAGATGCCGACGGTGAGGTAGGCTGTCGAGTATCTGAGGGAGGAGAGGATGGAGGTGGAGGCGGTGGTGGAGGAATGGCGGTGGTGGGGGTGGGGGTCGACGGTGGAGTGGAAGTTTGATTTTATGAAACTGAACAGTTAGGATTGAGATTGAGCTTGAAAAGGATGAAAGAGATTCCCAGTCAAATAGGATAGGTCAGTCACTGTTCGTTTTGGGGATGTCTCTGCTATTTTCTGAAACAAATGAGGTTTTAAAATTCTATAAAACCTTGGGGTAAAAACATTTCTTCTTGGTAATTAATTTTTTTTTTCATCAAATAATATATGTATTAATTGTTGTAAATAGTTGATAATATTGGTAGGCATATTTAAAGTAATTAAAATATATTGCACCTAATCCAAAAGTTAGGTTATTATAACACAAATTCATAATCTTTGGTTCATATTAATTGATATATAAAAATTTCTTAGTTGGCAATAAAAATACCTAACTCTAAATCTTATGGTAAATTATGTTAAAAATATGTATAAATAACTTAACCCATAACAAAATATCGATCTTAATAATCAATACAATAGTTGAATTTTATAACATATAACTCGGTATCAATGCAATATCCAATTTAATATTTTTGTTATAGTGCATAATTTATGTGTTTATTTTTATTTTATTATTTGTTTTTGATGCATTATTGTTAGGTAACCCTATGTTTATAAAACTAATTATATTATTAGCACAACTATGTTTCAAGGATTATGTACTTGGTATTTATGTTAAAGAATGAAATAGAAGCATTCTTGAAAGTTCAATTATCTAAGAATTGTGAGAGTTTATGCGTAAATATTCAAAATTTAAAAAAAAAAAAGGTACTAAAATGATATAAATTGAAGGTAAAAGAAGATAGATATAGACAGAACGGATTAAGGAATAAATCATCTTCAATCATAATTGAACCCATATAAAATGAAGGTGTTTATGTTATTAATCAGCCCTCTTTGAACTTCAATAGTAAACACCTTAAAAGTTGACGCTAATTAATGGGTTGTCTTAACGTGTATAAGGCACACGTTAAGGATACTTGAAGACAAAAAAAAATTAACCTTTTTTTTTATTATTTTTTTTATGACTGAGAATGTCTGAACAAATTTACACGCACCTCAACTAATCTTTCGGGATCCTATAACTACTAGTCGAGTAAGAACTCTAGTGGTTAACATCATTAACAACCGAAGAGAGATTCGAATTCAAAACCTTTTGAGTAATATACCCAAGAGTCCTTATTTAACTACTCGACCACTCAGAAGTAGTTAAAAATAAAAAAATTAACGTTCCAATGCATTGAAAATTGCTTTCTACTTGTTATATAATATATATATATATATATATATGTAAATCTTTTATCTTATAGTGGATATACGTCAACAATATTTTAGCCCAAAGTGGAGGAAGGCCCAATAGCCCATGTTTTGGAATTTAATAAAGGAATAAAAAACTTCAACATGCATGAATATTTATAGAAAAATTGAATAAAATTATTAAATTCATATAAATTAATATGAATGATATAGAGATCTCTAGCATATAGGATTGTCCCAAGTCCTAACAAAAGATTTGGTGACTTATAGGTATTTAAATGTTCTTATCATAAGCATTAAATTACACTCAATTGATAATTAACATGACACAAAAAAATATACTGAAGTGTGAGCCATCGTGTTGTCATTTGTTATTCACAATTTTTTTTTTTTTTTTAATTAAGGTGTTTAGGACAGTTTACGTGAATAATCATTGACAGTCATTCACAAACTCTCAAAATTTAAGATACAAATCCATAATAATATATAACATCATGAAAATTTTAATATCTGAATCAAAGGTTAATAATCAGTTATTAACTTTATAAAATAAAAAATTTTAAAATAATAACAAATCGTTGAATTTTGATTCGTACATTAAAAATTCAAGACTTATATATTTAGTGTTTAATTATATCCATCTTATTGAAGATTTTTGTCGCATTTTTTCTAATTTACATTCAATTTTATTGTTGCAATTGGGGGTGCCCTATCATAAATCACATGGCTAATATAAACCTTTTTGTTAACCTATAGCTATTGGTTGTGAGGAAGCTCCAATTTATTTTGAATAAAATTATGAGCTTTTAATGTTACATTGATGGCTACCCTAGTGTTTAGGGCAATTGCCCAATTGATTTAAGATGAAGTCTCGCAAGCCCTACTAAGAGTTGATGGGTTAGGTAAATCATTTTCACAATTTGGAAATTAAACATTGAATTACAATCAATATATTAAATGACTTTGTCGTTCAACAATACATATCCCCTCATATAGATGCATCCAACCAATCACGAAATGACATGCCAAAGTATGTGTACATGTACTAGAGGTGGGCAAACGAGGCTTAGGCCCTCAAGGATCAGACCCAAATTGGTTGGGACCGGTCCTAAGCCTGTCACTTTTGTGAGGGCTTAGAATAGTCCCAAGCTTGAGCCTGGACTGTATAAGACCGGTCCTGAGACCAGTCTTAGGCGACTTGATTAATATGTAGGCCTGATAATTTTGTATAACCAGTCTTAGGCTTGGGACCAGATGGACTGGTTTGGGCCTGGTCACCCTTCCCTAGGGCTCGGGCCAATCCCGGGACTGATCCCATAGGGAAAGGGCCCTTTGGGCCCGGGCTTTTTACCCACCTCTAATATGTACCCGATCAAGAGGAGAATCAAATATGAAAGATGCATACATTTCTTATTTAGCCAAATGAAGATATATGTGCATCTGATCAATCAAATGATGTCAGTTTTGTGTTAATGTATGAATGTATGTCATCAATTGATTAAATATTTTATTTGTTAAGTTTTTTTTTTATTTTTTGTTTTACCTTTATATTCTTCCTTTATTCGTGTCTCCATTTATGTTGATTTTGATTTGAGATTTGAGATTTGATTAAATATTTCAGGTCCCCAATAATTTTGGCTTTTGGTGTTGGGGAAGCAAGCAATTTTGGATTGAAATGAAAGCAACGTCCCATTAAAAATAAAGTTTCTGTACTTTATATCACTTTCCTATTCTAGCTATTCTAAAGAGTTCTATAAATTAATGGGATGATTTGGACATTTGGTTCTTTGATTCTAGAGGAAGTTGCAAATTCTAGGGATGGAAAATACATTTAATAAAGTTTTGTTGGGAAAATGTTTCTCAGCTTCATTGACGGATAAAGGGTATTATAGTCTTTTCGTTGTTAGACCCCAGTAAGATAACAAATTTGATTAATGAATTTTAATGATGAGTGGAAAATTCTCAAATCTTTTTGTAATTATAGTAACAAAAAAAAAATTCTTAGCGAGGTAATTAGGTAAATATTCGTTAATTCATAGTAACCACACTAACGGTAAGGAGATTTATGTTATTTTTGAAATGTTAGGGAGAATTTCGTAACTTAATTAAACCTTGGGGGTGGAGAAAATTTTTCTATTTTACTTTGGAAATAGTGATAATACTATTAGTGATTGAAATCAGAAAAAAATAAAATTGGTGGAGTGTGGTCCTCTTTTTTCCTTTATTTATCCATTTAATTTTCCTCATAAATACATTTATTAACACAATTTTTTATTATTATTATTAGAAAACTATTTATCATCTTGTTTTATCTTATTATTAACTTGAAATTTCATATACATTAATACCTCGAAGAATGATAAAATATAAAAATCTCCTTAAGGTTTCAAAAATAACAAAATCCTCTTACTTTTGAGTTTTAAATGTTATAATAAATGAAAAAAGATTAACGTTACAAGATTTTTGTTATTTTCAAAATCTAATAAAATTTTTTATTTTGTGTCCTTTTTATCTTGGCATTTTCTTGATTCCCATCCAGATAAGAAGTTCCATAAACTAGGCTATTGTTATCGCATGTTTCTTTATGTTTTCTGGATTTTATCCGAATCCTCGTTTCCTTTTGAAAAAAAGGGAAGGAAAAAGATCTTTCTTCCTTGGATGCCTCTTGTTCCTGTTTAATCCCCCTCGTCTTGAAAGTCGTTTCTATTTCTCAATATGTTACTCCCCTTTTTGGCCTTTCTTTAAATATAATCTATTCTTTTCCCTAAAGTTTGTCTCTTGTCCTTAACTTATTCATACACTGTTAACATATTAATCATTAAAAATGTATAATATACGAATAACATATTAATCATTGAAAGAAGTAATCACCATGGCATCTTGGTCTTAGATTCTCAGTTCCACGCATGCATTTCTTCCTCAGGAGAGACATCAGCATATCCATCTTGAAACTTTGAAGAGTCTGCTCAGTTTTTGAGTGAATAAAGTAAATATGGATGATATGAAAGCTCCATTGTTGCAGAACTCAGTTACTTCATTAAAATGTGAGTTCATCTCCAAATTGCCTCACAAAGTTCGCTCTGGACTTGATCCTGAAACCCCTCTTGATATTGACCTCTCTAAACTCACTGGCTTCATTCAAGGTACTTCACATCGCATTCTCTCTGTTCTCTCGCTTTTATCTTGATCAATAGCAATGGTATGTCATGATTTTATTTTAATTAAGTTTTGTTTTAAGTGGGAAATGAAAAAAAATTTGACCTTGCTTACTGCTTAGTGTAAGTGGTGATGACAAGAAGATTTGTTGAATAATTCAGAATTAAATAAGAGAAGAAGGCACGTGTTAGGAGCTAATTTGGAATCTACTCATGGATTAGAACTTTGACTTTCTAATTGATAACTGATGACTGTAGAAAAGATGGGTGCTTTTTGTTTGAATAAATGCTTCTTCCAAGTCCTATCTGCCTGTCATTTTCCATACCATGTCTTTTGATTTGTATTCAAGTTGAAAATTTAGTTCAATTATTCTGTGTTAGACAATCTTCCAAGTGGTTAGGTCATGAATAATCGGCCGGTTTCCTCTAGGAACCGAGACTACTTGTTTCAGAGTTATTTAGTCAGTCAGACAAATTAACAAATGTCACCTAAGTCTCGAAAGAAAATTCGAGAAACTTGGCCAGAACATAGCCAGGCATGGCAGCCCCTGGCTGCGTTGCGGCTTTACTATTTCTTTGATGAATGAAACTGGTTGATGTGAACATAACTAGTGTGATTCTGTGAAAAGATGTTTCAGTCGGTGATCATTTGTGATAATATAAATTTCATTTTAATCCTGGGAACCTTAGTTTATTAGGACTGCTCAGTTGGTATGTTTGAAATGAATTACAAAGTTGTATAATTACTGCAAAATTGATTTGATCAAGGAGAAAATCCTGCCGGTTTCACTTGATATTAGTATTAATCTGTATTATATTATGTATTACATGTTGATAATCTTTTAGTGTATGTATATATTCTTCAATTTCTGAGTTACATATCATTTTGATGGAACATTCATGGTTTTGTTTTTATCAGGGGAGAAGGAATACTATGAAAAACAATTTGCAACACTTAAGTCCTTCGAGGAAGTCGACTCTCTGGAGTCGAATAATGCCATTGATGAAGAGCAATACTGCATCGAGCAAGTCCAACATGAGAGAGCAATGAACATTTCTAATTGTGCAAATTTTGTGTTACTTGCATTCAAGGTATTCTACTTTCCCTTTTCTGGATAATGTGAATTAAATGCAGAATTTCAGATATGTTTTAATATCATCGCCTCTTTTTAAGATGCTTGTAGAGTTATGTGTTACATTTCATTGTGCTTTTCTTCACAATTGATTGTAAGAAGCATTGATTTCTTCAGAAAGTTCTTATTTCTATATATGCATTTCTGCAATACAGATATATGCTACAATAAAGAGTGGATCTATGGCGATTGCTGCATCGACTCTAGATTCTTTGTTAGATCTCATGGCTGGTGGCATACTTTGGTTCACAAATTTGTCAATGAAAAACATAAACATATACAAATATCCTATTGGAAAATTAAGGGTGCAACCAGTAGGCATTATCATCTTTGCTGCTGTCATGGCCACTCTAGGTATATTTTTCTGCTCTAAACTTGTCTAAATCTTTAAAAAATTGACAAATATCTAGTGAACTTGACATTCTTTTTTTTCCTTATCGAGTTGTGTTCGTCCTGTATGCAGGCTTCCAAGTGCTCATCCTAGCTCTCGAACAACTAATCAAAGACAAACCTTCTGCAAAAATGACTTCCTCCCAACTCATTTGGTTGTATTCAATCATGCTGACAGCTACTGCAGTGAAACTTGTCCTATGGATTTACTGTAGAAGCTCCGGGAACAACATTGTCCGCGCATATGCAAAGGTTTAGTATAACATACAATTTAGAGCCCAATATCAATTGGATTGGATTCTTTCCTGCTGCGCATTGCTTTCTATAATATGATTGCCTGCAGGATCATTACTTTGATGTGGTAACGAATGTGATTGGCTTGGTCGCTGCTGTTCTTGGCGATAAATACTATTGGTGGATTGATCCACTTGGCGCTATCATCCTTGCAATCTATACCATTACTAATTGGTCTGGAACCGTGAAGGAAAATGCAGGTTCCATTCTTTCTCTATTTCATTAAGATGAAGTATATAAACACGTTTTTGGAGGCTTGAAGTGCTTCCACAAAAATCACTTCCAAGTAAAAACATTTTTATTACCCCAAATGAATTTCCATGTTCAGCATGCGCTTTTAACAATCTTTTTTCTGGTAGTTTGCCTGGTTGGACAATCAGCTCCTCCTGAAGTTCTGCAGAAACTCACATACCTTGTCCTAAGACACCATCCTCAAATCAAACGGGTTGACACGGTTCGCGCTTACACCTTCGGTGTTCTTTATTTTGTTGAGGTTAGTTTGTACTATCGACACATCTAAAGCTATATCTATTAGCAAATGCGCAAACCTATTTCTTTAAACTGTGCAAACACTGAGCCGTGATTTGGCTCTGACAATGTTTTAAGAAATATTTCGCTTAAAAATTCAGGTTGACATTGAGCTGCCGGAAGATTTGCCATTAAAAGAAGCTCATGCAATTGGAGAATCATTGCAGATTAAGATTGAAGAGCTCCCTGAAGTTGAGAGAGCCTTTGTTCATCTTGATTTTGAGTGTGACCACAAGCCAGAACACTCTGTTCTTAACAGGCTCCCAAGTAGCTAGCCAGTGTCAGTTTTTTTTTTTTTTAATTTCCCATCAATACTTCTATTTCTTGAGACTTCAAATTCCATAAAACTTTTCATAATCGTGTGCTAAAAAATTTCTACTTGTAAAAATTAAATAGCTAGTAAAAGAAAAAGAGAAAAACATAAAGAGTTGTTGATACTAGAGGTATGATAAAATAACAAAGACTATGTTTGATAGAGTATTTAGAATAGTATTTTTGAAAAAGTTGAGTTGAGTTGTTATTACAAGAATAGGATTTGAATTTGAAAATATGTTTGGTAAATTTTTGGAAAATATTTTCTGAAAATATTTAGATTATTTTTTAATCATCTACATTTGTTAATTTAGTTAAATACCCCCTACAATAAAAGTTTTTAAATTAATAAAAACACTCTCACTCATCCATTAAAAGTCGGCAGCTAGCCACCACCTTCAGACGGAGACCGGAAGTGACCAGAATGGCACACAACTGGTTGGATCGGCGCCGATCTGACATTTTCTGACCAAATTTATCATGCATCTGGCTGAAAATGGCCAGTTCTATAGTTAAAGATTTGGTCATTGATGACAACCAAGATATGACCGTCAACAACGGCCACGATAAGGTCGTTGTTGACAATCAGATGTGGCTAGATCTGGCCGTCAACAGCCAGATCTGGCCATCAATGGCCAGATCGAAACACAACCGGTCATATCCAGCCAGTTGTGCGCCATTTTGACATATTCCAACCACCTTCCAGCGGTGGTAGCCGGCTACCGGGAATATGTGGGTGGGTGGATGTGTTTTTGTCAATTTATAAACTTTTATTGTTTGAGGTGTTCATTTAAATTAATAAACCTAGGAGATTAAAAATATCTAAATATTTTGAGTTGAATAGAATATGATTAGATTTTGAGAATACCGAAACAAATATACATTTTGAATAGAATTTGATAAGATAGTATTTTGAATAAAGAAACAAACAGAGTCAAAATTTTCTTGTAGCAGCAACCCACTCCTAAGTAAATCATAGGTAAAGGTAATCAACGAGGCAGTAGAGAATCAAACTTGGAATTATGGGTTGAAGCCATTACTAGCCCCTTGGTTTGCCGTTATAACTATGTTACTCATGGGTGAATTTCACCCATTATATCAAGTACACATGATATTAAAATTTTGAAGAGAAAAAAAAATAATAAAAAAAAAAATTTTGTTGGAGTTTCAAGTAAACATTAAATTGTGAATAGTTGGTTTTTAAGTGTCCTTAAAATTTTTTGTCTTTTTCAGTGCGTTTTTGGAGCGCTATTTTAATGCCATTAGAAATTAGAAATATAGTGGGAATGAATTGTTTTTACTTTTTAATATTTACTTATCATATGAAAATGATAAGTTCAATTTTTGTGTTATATGAAAATAACAATTTCATCCCCTAAGTTTTGACTTTTTTTTGCCCTCTTATTTCTTAAACCTTATCTTATTCCCTTTGAAGGAAACATCTTAAATAAAATTTTTAACTTTGGTCTTCCTAAATGCAATTTCCTAATTTAATCCTTTAACTTTGGTCTTCCTAAATGCAATTTCCTAATTTAATCTTTTAACTTTGGTCCTCCCAAATGCAAATAAATACTAAAAATTAAAGAATAAATCTTCTCATGATACAAAAAGAAATCAAATCCCACAAGAAAATACCTAAAAAAAAGAATTATTCCCTTATTATCATGAATTTAAGAAGAAACCCTTTCTTCCTAAATAATAAGCTAATAAAAGAATTGTCATTGTTGTTGAAACTTTGAAGGTAAGAGCTAATATGGAAGACATGAATGTGCCATTGTTGTTTGCAAAAGCATAAGAAATCAAAGTATTTTTATACCCTATTAGTATCATGAGTTGATCCAAAAGTGGGTTGATTAGAAAAATTATGGTAAATCATTTATTCATCTGGTGTTTAAATATATCGTCTATTTCTAATTTCACTAAATCGAAACTTTAAGAGTTCAAAATTTTATATGTACAATGTTGCATTTAGTAAAGATTTATATACTCAATGTGTCCGCACCTGTCCGATAGATATATTATAAATCTGAGTTCATCTCCATGTTGCTTGACAAACTTTCTATGACTTAGATTTGGATTTTTTAAACTCACTAGCTTGATTCAAGGTATCAAAACAATCTCAATCTGTTTCTCAAACAAGTCACATATATTACATATTACAATTTACGAGTCAAATTCTAATGAAACATTCACAATGATTTTATGCATTAGGAGGCTATGAATCCCACAAAGTTCAATTTGCAGTCACAAAGTCATTAAATCTAACAAATAACTCAATGGTAAAAGTTATATTTCTTAGAAATATTTAGCAAAAAAAATATATGAACGACTCTCTTTTTAACCCCAAAAAAGGGGGAAAAAATGGACCAAATCAAATGGGCCCAAGGCCCAAAACACAGAGTCGTCTTCTGTTAAACCCATAAAGCTTTCTCTGCATTTCAACAACTCTCTATTGCCCAGGTAAGCTCTTATGTCTTATCTCTATATGTTTTCATATGATAAATTTCACTCATTTTTACCAAGAGTTACTTTTTTTTATTATTATCATTTTTCTTTGTGCTTCTTCACTTTCATATCTTCCCTTTATATCTCCTAACAAAATAATTTGTTCGATAAATAGTTATAGTTTCTGGTTCTAAGAATGTATTGTGAATTCATGGACTTAATGGAGTTCTGGGCTTTCACTTTTCGTGTATTAAAGATTAATGTAAAATTTAAATGAAGGGATATAAGACATGGGTTTAGGGTTTTAGGGGCTGATATATGCTGGTTTTACTTGATAAAGTCTTAGGTGAGACAGACGTTATGTTTATGTTCATCCAATAAGCTCTTGACACGTATGCATTCATTTTAACAATGGTTGGTGAAGGTTAGTTAGACTGCGCAGTATTATCGGACGGGTGCGTAGATGATGTCGTACACTCGTCTTGGGAGGTTCTAGCAACATTGAACTTCATATTTATCTTGCAAAATTAAAGTTGGTTACTTTTTGATATTGAATATTACTCCAATGATGTTTTTATTGCAACATACTGGGATTTTTATGCATATGTAGCTAACTAGCTATCCCTGTTCGATGTGCAGGAGTTGGTTTAATAGGAATTGAATGTTGAATTACCCTTCTTTTAGTAAATTTACCTGATATTATTTTTGTATATATGTAATTGATCACTGCGTTACAATCAAGTTTTTCAAGTTAATTACATCTCGGATATTTAAGATACCCATTTCTGGTCATTTGAGTGTTATATGAATTGTGTCTTGTCGTGTTGATTTGTCGTTTTAGTGGTTTTTAAGTGTTGACATATGCTTGTTCTTGTTGACAGGGGCATAGGATAAAGGAGTTGATTACAAAAGTGTTTGCAGAAGATAGAATAATCGGTTGAACAGGCTGTGTATGCTTTATTGTTTAGTTCATTTCATTATAAGGGACTTACAATCTGTTGAAATAAGCTCATCCTGAACTATAATATATTATCCCGAGAAGGAAACATATTGTTTTCCTTCCATGAATTCTCTTTTGTTACCTTCCTATCCCTTTATCTCATCATTGTCCTGCAAGTCTTCACCTTGTCTTCAATCAAAACCTTGGTATATTTGTAGTTCACATATTTGTTTTAATGGCTGTAACACTGCTCCTCTTTCTCACTTGCTAAAACCCAAATCGCGTTTTTCATTAAGCATTCATCAGACATCCATTGGTTCCACAGTTCCTTCCGATGAGGGAGTTGTATCTGTAATCGACTTGATTGAAAAAGATTGGTCATTTCTTGACTCGGATGAGCTGAACTCCGAAGAGAATATCCAGAAGATTGACAACATAATTTCTGCAGGAGAGATTGATCATTCTTCCAGGGTTTTGGTTTCAATTGGTTCTGAAGGTTTTGTGGATCGGGTGGTTGATTCATCACCCTGCAGCTTTTTGCTTGTTGTACATGATTCACTTTTTGTGTTAGCTTGCATTAAAGCGAAATATGACAAGGTTAAGTGTTGGCAAGGGGAACTGAGATATGTGCCAGAAGAGTGGGCACCTTTAGATGTTGTGTTTCTCTATTTTCTGCCTGCGTTGCCCTACACACTTGATCAGGCTTTTGGGGCACTTGCTGATCGTTGTTCGCCTGGTACATTTTTAGAAGGATTTTGTGTAGTATTTGACCCATTTGATATCTCTATAAAGTCGGTGGCAAAGGAATATTACTCTTGATTCATCTAAATCGTTTCTTTGAGTATTGTGTTTTGGTTTTTCAGGTGCAAGAGTGGTTATTAGCCACCCCCAAGGGAGGGAAATATTGGAGCAGCAAAGGGAACAGTTTGCAGATGTTGTAATTTCTGACCTGCCTGATGAAATGACTTTACAAAAAGTTGCAGCCAATCATTCTTTTGAGATAGCTAAATTTGTAGATGAGCCTGGTCTTTATCTTGCTGTTTTGAAGTTTTGTAGGGAAAACTGAGTTCAGATTTGAACTTATGAAGAGACTGGGCCTCGGCTAATGTAATTCTTTTTTAAGCCAATGAAAGAGTTCAGGAATCAGATTTTGTTTGCTAGAATTGTGAATTCAGATTCCTGAAATTTTAGGTACATCATCCATATGCTTGCGTGATAAATTCAGGTTTTACATATCATAACGATTGTTAGGTAAATGAAGAAAATACCCATGACAGGATTTTATTAGAAGAATGAATGAGTGATTATTGTTATACTTAACAGTGAAGTGATGTGAATCTTTAATGAAAAATGAGAATAAACTGCCTCTTAGATGTAGAGGTGTGCAAAAAAATCCAATATCCGATCCAAAAAATTTGGATTGGATTCGGATGTCAATTTTTGGAAGATCTAGATTTTCGAATCAGATATTGGATCGGCTTTGCAAAGAAATCGGATATTTGGATCCGATCCATTTTTGTCCATAACTACAAGTTTTAAGAAGTTATTTTGGGGTCCTAGGTGAAAAGTGGTAAAGTATGTGGACTGTTCAAACAATGACAACTTTGGGGGGAAAATGTAATAAAATGTTGATGTGGCAGGGGTACCAAGAAAATGCAAAATCTTAGGGGGAAAATTGATATTTTTCATATAAATTCGGGCAAAACCAGATCCGGTTTATCCAATCCGTATAGTCGGATCGGACCAAAACCGGATCAGAAGAAATCTGGACCAGATTCGGACTAGGTTTATCCTGGATTGGATTAGAAAAATCCAGTTTTGCACACCTCTACTTAGATGTTGTATTTGTATGTCTAACACTGTAACTTGGATTGAAAAGCAAATTTGTGTTCTGGTTTGCCTGTGATGCTGTGAATACATGAAAATCCAAACATCTATTAGAGTTCGATATATAGCTGAATAATGCTACAAATCTAAAGTAGTATTTCAAATTAGTTAATACAAATGATGTATCATCTTATGTGACATTATTAACGATCAGGTTTGCCTCATCCCAGGCTTGGTTGCCAAGTCCAATCATAGAGAAGATCATACAGTTCTTTCATAGTTCGAAAGGCATCTCATTAGTACCAATTCCTATTTCACAAGCACATGGCAAGGAGCAGCAACCAATAATAAGCCACAGAAGCACAACACAATTAAATGAATAGAAGGTTGGCATAATAAGTGCTTAAACACCAGCAAAACTTAAAAAGTCACTGTATGATCTGTTGATGATTCTAGCTTGCAGAAGGGTGTCCAAAAAGCTGATAACAAAATTATAATTTTACTCTGATCAAAGATGAATCAATGTTCATTGTCTGATAAAAATGCCATGTGTTTAAATGCCTAGACTGAATTATAGAGATGAACAGCAAAAAAGGGGAGGAAAAAAGTCGTACCAAACAAATTCTCCATTAATTGAAAAAACTGACCTCATACAAAAACCTCTCAAACATCTTTATAGCAATCTCCCAACCTTATCTTTCATCTAAATTAAATAAACCAATTAGACAACTTGGATAGCAATCACCAAAAGAAAAAAAAAATCTATAAGCTAAAATTGGAATATTTCAGAAGAAGATTATTGGTTTTTTCTTTTTTTCTTTTTTCTTAACTATTAAGTATCTCAAACTTTGGTATCACCAAACAAGAAGATAGGGACTGAACTCCCAAATCTCACTCTCACTAGTATATTAGAAGAATGGAAACCTTATGCCATTAGTTGCTGCAAACAAGTTGTATTCTTCAATTGTAGTCTCTTTCTTAGGGCAAGCATGATCATTCTCAACATGATCCGCTGAAAATTGTGAAGAAAAATTCCCGACAATCTCATCTTTCGAAGGCAAGGGATTTAGTTTACATCCAGTTGAAAGAGCAACAGGCCCACCAAAATGAAACAAGGAAAAGTTGTCATTACCCAATTTATCAGAATCATCACTTTGCCCGCCTTCTGCATTTGCTGGTGCATCACTTAGATGTGACCTGGCAGGAGCACCCCCCTTTGTATTTGCATCATTCAATGCTTTTTGTGCCACACCTGCTTTGGAAAAATGAGTTTGCTCCTCCATGCCGTTGGCTTTGGTAACAGGCTGATAAAGAGGTACTGGGCTAGGATTAAATACAGGAGTAGGAACATGCGGCAGAGCACCATACTGCATGCACATGCGTGAGTTTCCATTTAAGCCATAGCTGAGAGGGCCAGCATACAAATAGTGGTTGGTATGAGGGAAAGGCATTACTCCATTTGCTGGAGCAGCTGGCCACGCGACTGGATTTTGATGATAGTAACCCATTGTTGAAGGAGGCTGAAATACTGGAAATTGCATATTTTGATTATGCAGTGGTGGGCAAACGCCTTGATGTTCAGAACCCATACTAACATTAGATATACCTTTATCAGGTTTTTGGGAAGTCTTTGTCAGCAGATTTCCTTGAAATTTACTCCCCATACTGTGAGGTGGAAGTCCATTCAATGGCCTGCTTACCAAATTCTCATCTCCATTTGTACACTGTTTTTTCTCAATCTCAACTTCATGACATTCAGAGAAAACATTTTGAGTGCATTCTGAAGCATCTCTCCCTTCTGATTGTTGACTGGCATCTTCTGAGTCTGACGTGGATGATGATTCCAGATTTCCATGATTTGAAGAGACTGTATTGCTATCCCCCTCACTAAGGCACGAGGAGCAGTTATCAGAATTGGATGTGCTACTCGTGTTGGGATCAGAAATTCCAGTCAACGTAGAGTTTCTACTATGACATAATCCAGCCTCATTGTAAGCAGCTTCTGTTGAATAGCAAGCATCCTTTGCATCCAAATGAAGTCCATTCAGGCAGGTTTCATCAGTTGAAAGGGTAGAGTCCCTTGATTTCTTCATGTTAACATCCTCATCATCATTTTGACACAAATTCCCACTAGCCTTGCTAGAAAATGTTTCACAAGATGACTTTACAAGGTTATTATCATGTTCAACTCCTTCACCTTTGAAGGTAGTTGACCTCAAGGTAACATCTGAATCTGAGTTGCTGCGGGGGTACTTCTTCTGCAATTCCATGGGCTCCCAAACTTTCTTGGAATAAAGTGAATCTCGGGTGGAGGAACTGTTTCCCATAATAATTTTGACTTTGGATCTTCCAGAACTATCACGCATGTAATCAATTTGATTATACTTGTTACCACGATAGAATTGTTTGGACATATCCAATGCAGATTCAGACTTACTGACAGATTTGGACTCTCGGCCTACTCTTGTTGCAGAAACATGAGGCTCAACCTTTGCTCGATATTCATTATGTTGATTACAGCTACAAGAATGGTCATATCTGTCACTCATCCTGTTATTGGAACAATGAACCTTCTCATTGTACTTCACACTGCAATTTCTATGGCTGGATTTGGAGGTGGTCATCCACAATTGCCGATTCAATCCATTGCTGCCCCTAGGAGTCTCATAATTATCACTGTGATATCTAGACTCGGATCGATTGACCATAGAACCACTTTCAGAAATGACTGCAAATCTGCGCCTCTCAGACCACTTCAATGGTGAATCAAGTTGTACTTCTTTCCGAAATTTCAATCTCCGTCGAGAAAATTTTGATTGTTCTATTTGAAAAGAACCATTCCCATCTTTAGCACCCATAACTTCTCCATCAGGACTATCATAACAGTAATTTTCCATTTGTGATGTGGTACACCCATTTGAGTACTGTTCATGCAAAACCTCAGGAGATCCAGGCCTGGACAAAACATCTACTGCTTCACTCACTGTGTCCCTGCAGCTAATAGCATTACTTGGCTCTTTATCAACACTGAGTAATGATTCATCCTTTGAGACATCAGGACGAACAAGGCTATGTTCTGAGGCACCATATTTTTTTTCTTTATCCCTTTCTTTTCCTTTCAATCTTTCCTTTCTTCTGAGCTTTTTCTCTCTTTCTTTCATTCTTCTCCTTTCTTTGCGCTCTTCTTCTTCACGCTTTTCTTTCTCCTCTTCCTCAAGAAGTTTCATCTGCAGCAAAAAAAATCACAGAGGAGGCCTCAGAAATATTTTCCACGAACAGGAGATGGCTCCCAATTTTCTATACCAAGAACATAAATCTTATCCTAAAATGTCATGAATACTGAGACCTGCTTTTCTAATGTGATAATCTCCTTGCATGCAACATGAACGCGTTCTTCCAGCAGTTTTAGTGCAAGACAAACGAAGATGCTGTGTGCATTTTGGCGTGCCGTTCCTTCTCTAAAGGCTTTTTCTACCTGAAAAAAATATATCATAATGAGTATGTTTCATAATAGTACAATTACATTTGCACACGTGAAAAAAGATAAGAATTAACAACATGGTTCCACCATCTTCATTAGTTCAGAGCAGCCCAGATTGCAGAAAATTTTTTTATGCCAACACTACAGCAATACAGAGAATACATATTACTCTAATAACTGAAATTCATCGTTAGCTCCAACAAAATGTCATGTATCCAACCCATAAAGCCGCTGACCCAACCAAGCACAATCTCCAGGTTTACTCAATTTTTTTTCCTCAGCAGCATTGCATTCAAAACTTAATTCCTCCTTACCGAGGCGCTGCTAAGCCATTTTTATGTCTGTTAATAAAGGTTATAACTTGGCAAACAGAAAAGGTTGGCTGTTGTTAAGAACACTAAAAGCAAATTATGCTTATAAGAAACTGCATAATGAAACAAAGTAATCTTTTACTGAGTTGAGAGACACCAGAAGATAATTCAGATAAAAACCAAGCACCTATCTAAAAATGACTTTTAACACAGCAACGGTAACGGTCTCAAAACTCCACTGCATTATCCTAATATAGAAGCCTATCATTCAATTAGTAGAGGTTCAAATGAACCAGAGCGAAATAGACTTCAAAAATCTTTGGTAAAACATTGAAAACAAAGGCAAGCATTTTGCAAGCCAAAAAGCACAAGAATATCATTATAATGAACATGCCTGCTCCTTAAAAATAACAGTTGCAGCATCTAGAAGAAACTCTCGAGCCAGTTCAGGACTCTTTGCATGCTTTTGTGGACGGGAGCATTCTCCATCCAGTTCATTTCCATCCTTGTCCATGGAATCATCATCCTGAAAATAGCAAAACAGACAGAGAACCATACCCATTAAGTAACATACTCCTAATTAATATTAAAAAACAGTTACTTAATCAGCTTTAAAAGAACTGAACTACCTCTTCTTCCTCAGCCTCTTCTGCATGCTCAAAAAACCTTCTAATACTTTCCCCTCTTGTAATTGTAACAAATCCATCGCCAACTACAAGCCTGCAATGAACACATTGTTGGCCCTTTAATGCATGAGCTTTTACAGAAAGCTCAGTACAGCGGCCATCTAATTTCCAAGCCCTCAGGGTAATAAAGCATGCACTCAGACCACTAAGATCCAAACCATTGACTTGAACACTTCCATTCATGCCAACATTTTCAAATTCAAGAATGTCAGATTTTCCCTCTCCAGTTCCAACTGCCCATTCAAAGTGATGGTACGTTCCAACAGTATCAGAAAAAGTTTGGCGCCAGTCAGCTTGAACTGTGTCATCAGATACCTGTGATGTAATAAATAAAAATTTGATCAAGATAAACTAACACAACCAATATATCAAAAAGGAAAATGGTCAATTCACTCTCCAAAAACAAAGGCCTCTTAAATCGGCTTATAAGTAAATTGACAACACTGCCCTCAACTTATCAACTTAGAAAATGTGTATCACATTTCAATGATGACATTTTTTGTTCAATCACTTAACCAATTGTCATAACAGTGTTATGATATTAACCCTTCATAGTTCAAATAATTGGATCAGAAGCTAAAAGAAACCAAAGCACTTGAACAGTCTGCAGAGAAAAAAAATGAAAATGGGTGAATAACCTCATATTGAAAGGCAGTATCAGCAACACAAAACCAACTAGTGCAGCGAGGTTCTCTCCGCATACGCTTCAACTCCTTTAGCTCCTTGAATTCTCGAATAACATTCCTTCTACAATCTCTGCAAAACCTCTTGCTGTCAAACCTGTGAAATGAACATCAATTTCTTAGCAGAAGCAAATCAATCTAATAAGACAATATTATGAAACTATATGCAGCATTAGCATTAAAAGAACATGTTCGAGCACAGAAAAAAATGACCAGCCACACAGAAATATGAGATGCAACAAGATTTCATGCAAGTTAATCCCAAAAGACAACAAAACTAACTGAGCACCTTCGCACCAATACACAGAGTTAAATGATTTCATGTTAGGTACAGGAACTAATAAAGCTTTGGTGCCCTTAAGTTTCCACCACTGAAATAAGAATTATAGGAATTTAACAGGTAACTACAACAAAAATTACTTAAATCAAACAGTAGTTCAAGAAGAAAAAAGAAAGAAAGAAATAAAAAGACATAGTGGCATTTGGTCAACTTGAAAAAGAAGGCTCAATAGTGGCATTGCAGCAGACAAATTGAAAAGGAGGGTCCAATCAATGAGAAGAAACAAATAATGCAATCAGTAGATTTTAGATTATAAATGTTGTCATGTGAATGAAGATGGTTGTGGTAAACCTTCAGCAACTAAGGTCTATTATGTCATATATTCTAATAGCACTTAAGATTGCAAGTTTCCATCTCTCTTGACGTCTCTCTTTGCCCAGATCTCTCCCTTTAAAGCCTCAATTCAATATACACTCCTCAACAATGTTTTCTTCTGTACATCATATCTCTGTTAGAATAAATATCATCTTTGGTGCTAGTCACACATTTTCGGAGATGGTTTCATATAAACTCTAATTATGCCTATCATGCCACTCCTTTGTCTCTATACCTAGAGTTACAATACTATTCTTCATAACAGTGTGATTTCTTAATACACAGCATTTTGGCCCATCAGCATATTGGAAATTATGGAAAATCAACTATAGTTAAATAAAATCAACCAGAAAAATTGATTTTGGCAATTGATAAAAGTGGGCTAAATGGATGAGCAAAACCGAATATTGTGTACAACTTATATATTAAAAAAAAATTGATGCACATTGTCATCTTTATTTGGAAGATTTTAGAAATTAGGGCCTACTTTATCCACCAATTTGATCTAATTTTCCATAAAACATTCTGCATGTCAACAATCTCAAACTTTTAGTCTTCCCATTGTTCCCTCACAATCCTTAGATTTTCAAAATTACAAGAAGCCATCGTGAAAGACTAAAGAAACACTAACTTCATTGACCTTTCAAAGTTCATTTTCCCAACGCACATAGATTGAATCATAGAATATATTGGAAATTCAGATTAAAAATATATCAATTGGTCCTACATTTAGCTACATTCGGAGAAAAGGGACATAAAAGTTACTAACTCAGAGATGAAAAGCAAGAGAATCCAAATTAACTGATGATACTGACAGTAGCAAAACTGTAATATCAAATCAAATTCAACATTGAGAGAACCTTCATGTTTATCAAGCCATTCGCCTTTGGAATAAAGTAGTGGTCATCTAACCTGCTGTCTCTTGTCATCTACTAAATCATGTTTCCTTAAAAGCCTACATAGAGGCAATCCGTGATTTTTTAAAATGCCAGCAGTTTCTTTCTAAAAATACTTGATAAGCGTAAATCCAAAGTACTATGGTTAATTTTCTTTGTAAAGTTGTATAAAAGCTATCTGCCACATAGTAAACTTCATGGATATCAGTTGAGCTCTATTGCAGATGATCCAAAGTGATAATTCATCACCAAGCTTTGGAATAAGCCAAATTAAAGGTCAAAAGAGTCATAAAAGATGGAGTCTGTCTAGATGATTGAGAATAAATATTCCCTTGACAAACAGACATTTTAGCATTTTAGGATGCTTGCATGATGCAGCTTTTGTTTTGACAAAATTGGTATTCTCCCTTTGGAGTTTACAAAATTGCAATTATCCACCAGAGTCAACAAATCATGTCAAACAAAATTTCCCATAATAGCACAATATGGCATCCATTTCATCCAATCTGAAGCACGCAGTTAATCACTCTCTCAATGTATGCCTAACTCATAATGTTGGCCTTAAAAGGGTTGTCCATCCAGTTCAGCCATATATTTGAAGCTACGAACATTAGGTACTCACGGAATAAATTGATGTTGCAAGCTTGTAACAATGAAGTGCAAAATTTTTAAAGAAAATAGCACGGCAAAGTATCTAAGCCTTCTGAGGAAGGATAACAAAAAATTGATTTACTTTATGCGGACAAATAAGTTTATGATGTCTTCTTCATCAGCTTGACCATTATAACAGTTTCCACCATAAGCTTTTATCTCAGAACTCCAAGAAAAAAGATAGTTTCAACTACCAATCAGTTCTCATACCAGTCTTCCACTGAATTTTAAATCAAATACTAAATATTAGAAACAAACAAGTAGCTAAAACACACCTGTACATTAGCCTCTCAATAAAATCCTCTTCCTTCATCCTTAAAAGAGATTGCCGAGTTTCTTCCCCAAGAGCAGACCAGAAATCCACTAATGTGTCACAAGAAAGCCTGGCAGTATGCAATGCACATGTTTCTCTTGTTCCATGTGCCCTACCAAAACTTGCCATTCCTTGACTTATCCAACCCCGACCTCCCCCACCACAGGCATCAGGATAAAGCAATTCCCGCTCCCGTTCCCTTGCACGTGCACTGTCGAAGACCTAATTAGATAAAAAACATCAGCAACACCAACCACATGCATAGATGCAAATTACCTGCACGCAGAAGAAATTTTGCATGACAAAACTTATTAGAACTAACATTTTGCAGTCCTTTGAGAGACTTTGAACACAAATAGCAGTCCAGGAGTGTTAATGATCCATCACGCGTTGTGGTTAGACCACCCCAGGGATGGACTGACGGATCTTGAATGTCATTTTGGCACCCATTTGTCATAATTGATCCACCGTCATTTTGATTTTTTGAGGCTACAGTTCTGTTGCTAGGAAGCTGTGCAACTGTTCCATCCTGCAGCATAGACTTTCCATACATAAAAATCTGCAGAAAACCTTCAAGCAGTAGTCCATTGCATCTAGAACAATACATGTTCTTTCGAGCTTGCTCAAAGAGGGTCTGCTTATCAATCCTAAGGAGCTCCTGCCGTGCTTGCAGTGAAAGGTCACTCCAGAACTAAGTACATATCACCAAATTAGCGATTTTCATTTCACAAGTTGCACAAAACCAGAAGCCCAAATATATTCAAAACATGTAAATACCAATACAAATTCTAAAATCATCAACCAATACTCGATAAGCCTGGCCTAATTGATGCCACTAAATGATATAAACAACTAGAAACCATTTTAAATCAATTTTTTCAAAAAAACTGCATCAAATTTCACAATTAGAATTATTAGTCACATGAAATGCCATTACCTTCACTAGAAAAAATTACACGAAAATGCAACCATTTCAAACGAATACTCACGACTGCCACTGATATTGCTATTATCAACCTACTTATCCAATATCATTATATACCAAACAGTTACAGTTCTCAATCGTCTATTGCCATGATATATCACGTAGACACAATAATACACTAACTACACTGTAATTGGATCTAATAAATAAAATACTCAAGTTCCATCACGAAAATGGCCAATGTATTGCTATTACAACCTACTTATCCAATATCATTAATACCAAACAGTTACAAGTTCTCAATCGTCTATTGCCATGCTATATCACATAGAACACAATAATACACTGAACTACACTGCAATTGGATTAATAAATAAAACTCAAAGTTCCATCAAACAAAACCCCTGAATAATAATAATTCCGCCTCAAGATCCAATCAAAATTCAATCGACCCTTTCAATTCAAGCAAACCCATTTGAACACTGTCCAATTCACTTTTCATTCAATAACACAGACCCAATCACAAAAAATATTAAAAAAAACAAAAAACTCTAGTACCTTCTGCAACTGATTGTACCAACATCATCGCTGTGTTTCGACCAGAAACCATTAGCCGAAACCGAGTAAGCATTACTAAATTGCTCATGTTTCTCTGCGCCTGCGCTAATCCTGGCTATTTTTTTCTTGTTAGTCAAATTAACTCATAAAATTCAATTCATTCACCAATTTTTTTAATTCCATTCATGCCCTTCTGTTGCAACAATATTACGATCAAACATCGATCTCAACCGCAACGTTCCCTGAAAATTTCACGAAATGGGGTCAAATAAAACGCAAAATTGAATCGAACCCATGCAACGAAATTGAAGATCGATTTTGGATCGAAATGGGTCGAATCTACTGGATTGTACGGACAAATAGCAAGAGATTGGAAATGGAGAAAGGGTCAAGTCTTTGAGAGGTTTTTTTTGGTTTGTGTGATAATGATGATGATTTGGAGCTGCGTTTATATTTGTAGGAGAGAGAGACATGAGAAGAGAGGGGCTTGGAAAATTGTAATGGTTATATGAGAATATTCATGTATTTTATTTTTATTTTCTCTTTTTATATTTTTTTAATATCACAATTTTAACTGTCACCGTTAAAAAATATGAGTATACAACAAACATTCAAATCCATTTTATCTCGTGACAACTTTTTATTTATCTCAATAATGTAGAAGACGTGAAAAAACCGACCCTCACGAAATATCATTCAAGTTTAGTACTATCGTATTAGTGTTCGAGCTACCATAGATCTCATATAACATCATATATCTTATCTAAATTGTATTTAATATCAAGTTATTATTTTATCTTATGACGATTTTTAATTTGTCTCACGATTAAACATGTCTAAGTACAAGTCCAAATTTTCAAGTTTCGAGACGTTTTACAAACTAACTTTCACAAATATCATATCAAGTTTAGCATTGCTTATTAGTCGTCAAACATACCACATTACTCCAATAATTATCATAACTATCATTATATGTTTATCATATAATTTATCATTTAATAATATCATTACATGTCATATCTTTCTTACTGTGAATCCCAAGTTCAATTTAATTTTTAATTTGCTCAGTAATGTGTAATCTATAGGTATTACATCTTACATAATACTACCATATAAGTTTCATATAAATCTATTATTACACGTCATTGTTTTATATCTTTTAATGTCATATTTACGTGTCGACACTATATGAATAAATTATTTGAGATTACTTGGGATAAAATTCAAGTATAGTGTTAATTTATGTATAGTAATTTTTATGTACGATGTCTTGAAATTTTTAACATGTAGACGAAGACACGATAACTTAAAATTTCAGAATATCTCACGTAAAACTTGTATGTATAATATCTATTTTTTAGTTAAAATAGGACATTGTTGTTGAGATATTGAGTAATTCATTGAACAAAGAGGTTAGTCTTAGTAAACCTTTTCACCATTGTATTGCAATAATTTATAACTATTATTAATAAATAAAAAAATAAATCAAATATTAAAATTTACCATTTAATTTAATTAAAAATATAAAATTTATATATTTTGATGATATTGTCACAAATATTAAAGATTATTAGGAACAAGTGACCTTTTTTTAATTTGAGTTTTTGTTGATGCTCTATCTTACAATGTGGTTTATTGAAAATTTTATAATTTAATTTAAGAGGTTTTAAAAAATTTTAAATATGAGTTTTAAAACGTTCGTTGATGAGCCTTTCATGAGCATGTAGTTTACTCTTGAAACAATATAAGACTAACTGAAATCAAACAAGTAAATACACAATATCAAACTAGTAACGAGAAAGAATAATACACGATTTACCCTGGCTTCTCGAATGCGCTGCATACTATTTATTATTGAAATGGTCGACAATTTCAACACTGTCTCTAGAAAATTATAAAGATTTATTTACATTTTAGAAAAATTTAAAGATCAATAAAATTATCGAAAATTTATTAATATGTTATTTTGTTTATTAAATTCAATGAAATATAATATTGAAATATTTAAAATGGTACTATTGACCTTCATTAATTATAGTGTCAATATAAAAACATAGCCTTATATTTTTTAAAATAAATAATAACCTTCCTTATAAGGGAGATTTTCTAACAAACTTTAAGAATATTCTTGAAACAATATGGAAATATTAGGTTTTAAAAAAAAAAAAAAAAAATTGAGCAATTACAAGGAAATAATTCTATTGAATTAGAAATTTTCGGTTATATTAAACATACACAATTCTTAAATAATCTTATTAACATCTACCTACAAACGATAATTATATAAACAATTTGAATGAGTGATATTACCTATTATGAGTAACGTATTCTCTAGTGTATCTACCGTTTTTTTTTAACACTGACATATTCATTTTTTCAACTCAAAATATTTTAGTTTACGACTCATTTAAATTCATGTTTTGTTACCGGGCCTTTTTTCGAGTTTTTTTTTTTTATTTATTGTACAATTTGGAGAAATTTGAGGTAAACATTTTTATAATAAGGATTCGTCACCATTAAAAATAATGAGGATCTATTTGGTTATTTATTTATTATGACAAAAAAATGTGAAATAGTGAGGACATAATGTCTATTTAGTCTGTGAATGTGTGCCCCTTAATTACGAAATTGCCCCTGAAGTTCATGTACCCGTACGCGTTACTGTTGCTAGAAGACACCAAATTTAGAGTAATTTTTCAAGTCCTATCATATGTTGACACGTGTCTAAATGGGACGAAAAAATGGCTTATTTAGTGAATATATATTTTCCAACTCCTTTTTGAAAAATAATTCATAAAATTGATAGAATTTTGATAAATCTTATTATTCCTATACTTTGAGAAAATCTTATTATATAAATTTATCAATTTATTTTAGGGCAAAATATTTTCAAATTGAAAAATAGTTTATTTTGAAAAGTTTTGTATGCTATAACCGTCTTTTTATTTTATGGACGATTTTACCCTTAAATATGAAACTCAATTTCTTTATCTCTTATTCATCTATCCAAACACAAGTTTTTTCCTTTATCAACTCTCTACACATGTCAACATCAAATAATTCAAGTATCATACATTTAACATTCAATTAAAGATATTTATATTGCACGTGTCGGCGATTTGAGGCTAGAGGTTGAAGATAATAATGCCTGAATCCTAATATCCCAACGACGTCGGATAATATTTGGCTTCCATTATGAAGCTTGAATCTTGATATTCAGGTGATGTTAATCGTAATCAAATGAGTTGGGGTTGGAGGTTAAAGACGACTGTGCCCGAAAAATCCCAATATTTAAGCAATATCAGGTGATGTCGGACATTTTTGAATGTATTATGTTTAAAGTTAAACATATAAGTGTAATTTTGTTTGAAAATTACTTAAAATACCTAAAGATTAATTTGAGAAATTAAGATGAACACGTTTCTAATTAGATTCTTATTGAAAGATAAAGCCATAGAAAATTTCTAATACATCCAATTTAAATTGTCTCGTTTGATGATAGATATATGATGTTGTCATTTTGTGTAAAAATGTCTAATAGAATTTCAATATCCATTTGTCATAATTGATCCACTGTCATTTTGATTTTTTGAGGCGCAGTTCTGTTGTAGGAAGCTGTGCAACTGTTCCATCCTGCAGCATAGACTTTCCATACATATAATCTGCAGAAAACCTTCAAGCAGTAGTCCATTGCATCTAGAACAATACATGTTCTTTCGAGCTTCTCAAGAGGGTTGCTTATCAATCCTAAGGAGCTCCTGCCGTGCTTGCGGTGAAAGGTCACTCCAGAACTAAGTACATACACCAAATTAGCGGCTTTCATTTCACAAGTTGTACAAAACCAGAAGCCCAAATATATTCAAAACAGTAAATACCAATACAAATTCTAAAATCATCAACCAATACTCGATAAGCCTGGCCTAATTGATGCACTAAATGATATAAACAACTAGAAACCATTTTAAATCAATTTTTCAAAAAAACTGCATCAAATTTCACAATTAGAATTATTAGTCACATGAAATTCCATTACCTTCACTAGAAAAAATTACACGAAAATGCAATCTAATTCAACGAATACTCACGAAAATGGCCAAGATATTGCTATTATCAACCTACTTACCCAATATCATTATATACCAAACAGTTACAAGTTCTCAATCGTCTATTGCCATGCTATATGACATAGAACACAATAATACACTAAACTACACTGTAATTGATCTAATAAATAAAATACTCAAAGTTCCATCAAACCAAAAACCCTGAATAAATAAATTCCACCTCAAGATCCAATCAAAATTCAATCGACCCATTCAATTCAAGCAAAACCCATTTGAAAACACTGATCCAATTCACTTTTCTTCAATAAACACAGACCCAATCACAAAAAATATTAAAAAAACAAAAAAACTCTAGACCTTCTGCAACTGATTGGACCAACATCCGCTGTGTTTCGACCAGAAAAATTAGCCGAAACCGAGTAAGCATTACTAAATTGCTCATTGTTCTCTGCGCCTGCGCTAATCCTGGCTAATTTCTGATTAGTCAAATTAAATCATAAAATTCATCATTCACCAATTTTTTTAATTCCATTCATGCCCTTCTCGTTGATACAATATTACGATCAAAACATCGATCTCAACCGCAGCGTTCCGTGAAATTTCAAAATGGGGTCAAATAAAACGCAAAATTGAATCGAACCCATGCCAACGAAATTGAAGATCGATTTTGGATCGAAATGGGTCGAATCTAACTGGATTGTACGGACAAATAAGCAAGAGATTGGGAATGGAGAAAAGGGTCAAGTCTTTGAGAGGTTTTGTTTGGTTTGTGTGATAATGATGATGAGATTTGGAGCTGCGTTTATATTGTAGGGAGAGAGAGACAATGAGAAAAGAGAGAGGGGCTTGGAAAATTGAATGGTTATAATGGAGAAATATTCATGTAATTTTTATTTTTATTTTCTTTTTTATATTTTTACTATCACAATTTTAACTGTCACCGTTAAAAAATATGAGTAATACAACAATACAAAAAATCTAATCTCATTTATATCGTGACAACTTTTTATTTATCTCAGATGAATAATAAATGTATAAGATGTAAAAACCGACCCTCAGAAATATCATATCAAGTTTAGTATACTGTATTACTGTCGAGCATACCAAATATCTATAAACATTATATACCTATCTAAATTGTATATTAATTCAATTATATTATTATTCAGGCGATTTTTAATTTGTCCATGACTAAACAAGTCTAAATGTACAAGTAGAGTTTCAAAGTTTCGAGACGTTTTACAAACCACTCTCACAAAATATCATATCAAGTTTAGCATTGTCGCATTAGTCGTCGAACATACCACATGCTATTATATGTTATCATTTAATACTACATGTCATACATTTTCTTACTGTGAATCCCAAGTTCAATTTAAAATTTAATTGTGAGTAATGTGTAATCTGTATGGTAATTACATCTTACATAATACTACCATATAAGTTTCATATAAATCCACTATTTACACGTCATTGTTCATATCATTTTAATGTCATATTTACGTGTCGACACTATATATAGATAAATATTATTTGAGATTAAACTGGGATAAAAATTCAAGTATAGTGTTAATTTATGTATAGTAATTTTCATATACGGATGTCTTGAAATTTTAACATGTAGACGAAGACATGATAACTAAAATTTAGAATACCGCACGTAAACTTTATGTATTATTACTATTTTTTAGATAATTAGGATATTAGTTGTTGAGATATTGAGTAATTCATTGAACAAAAGAGTTAGCCTTAGGTAAAACTTTTCACCATTGTATTGCAATAAATTTATAACTATTAATTATAAATAAAAAAAATAAATCAAAATATTACAATTTACCATATTAATTAATTAAAAATAAAAAACTTATAAATAATGTTGATGAAATTGTACTCAAATATTAAAGATTATTAAGGAACAAGTGACGTTTTTAATTTGAGTTTTTGTTGATGCTCTATCTTACAATGTGGTTTATTGAAAATTTTATACAATTTAATTTTAAGAGGTTTTAAAAAAAGTTTAAATATGAGTTTTAAAAACGTTCGTTAATGAGCTTTATGAGCATGTGGTTTACTCTTGAAACAATATAAATAACGTGAAATCAAACAAGTAAATACACAAATATCAAACTAGGAAAGAAAGAATAATACACGCGATTTACTTTAGACCCTCGAATGCGTATGCATGGCCTTTATTGTTGAAATAGTCGACAATTCAACACTCTCACGAGAAAATTATAAATATTATTTACATTTTAGAAAAAAATTTAAAGAAAATCAAAAAAAATTATGGAAAATTATTCTAATTTTTTTGTGTATCAATTCAATGAAATAATAATTGAAATATTTAAAATGGTATATTGCCTTCATTATATTATAGTGTCAATATAAAAACATGACTATATATTTTTAAAATATAAATGACCTTCCTATAAGGGAGATTTTCTAACTAACTTAAGAATATTCTTGAAAACATATTGGAAATATTAGGTAGTTTTTTTTTTAAAAAAAAAAATTGAGCAATTACAAGGAAAATATCTATTGAATTGTAAATTTTCGGTCTATATTAAACATACACAATTCTTTAAATAAATCTTATTAACATCTACTACAAACCGATAATTATATAAACAATTTGAAGAGTAATATTACCTATTATGAGTAAGTTATTCTCTAACGTTTTTTTTATAACATGACATATTCTATTTCTAACTTAAAATTTTAGTTTACGACTCATTCGAAATTCATGTTTGTTTTTATCGGGCTTTTTTCGAGTTTTTTTATTTTATTGTACACAATGGGGAGAAAATTTGAGGTGAACATTTATTATAATAAAGGATTTAATAAAAAGACATAGTGGCATTTGGTCAACTTGAAAAAGAGGGCTCAATGGTGGCATTGCAGCAGATAAATTGAAAAGGAGGGTCCAATCAATGAGAAGAAACAAATAATGCAATCAGTAGATTTTTAGATTATAAATATTGTCATGTGAATGAAGAAGGTTGTGGTAAACCTTCAGCAACTAAGGTCTATTATGTCATATATTCTAATAGCACTTAAGATTGCAAGTTTCCATCTCTCTTGACGTCTCTCTTTGCCCAGATCTCTCCCTTTAAAGCCTCAATTCAATATACACTCCTCAACAATGTTTTCTTCTGTACATCATATCTCTGTTAGAATAAATATCATCTTTGGTGCTAGTCACACATTTTCGGAGATGGTTTCATATAAACTCTAATTATGCCTGTGATGCCACTCCTTTGTCTCTATACCTAGAGTTACAATACTATTCTTCATAACAGTGTAATTTCTTAATACACAGCATTTTGGCCCATCAGCATATTGGAAATTATGGAAAATCAACTATAGTTAAATAAAATCAACCAGAAAAATTGATTTTGGCAATTGATAAAAGTGGGCTAAATGGATGAGCAAAACCGAATATTGTGTACAACTTATATATTAAAAAAAAATTGATGCACATTGTCATCTTTATTTGGAAGATTTTAGAAATTAGGGCCTACTTTATCCACCAATTTGATCTAATTTTCCATAAAACATTCTGCATGTCAACAATCTCAAACTTTTAGTCTTCCCATTGTTCCCTCACAATCCTTAGATTTTCAAAATTACAAGAAGCCATCGTGAAAGACTAAAGAAACACTAACTTCATTGACCTTTCAAAGTTCATTTTCCCAACGCACATAGATTGAATCATAGAATATATTGGAAATTCAGATTAAAAATATATCAATTGGTCCTACATTTAGCTACATTCGGAGAAAAGGGACATAAAAGTTACTAACTCAGAGATGAAAAGCAAGAGAATCCAAATTAACTGATGATACTGACAGTAGCAAAACTGTAATATCAAATCAAATTCAACATTGAGAGAACCTTCATGTTTATCAAGCCATTCGCCTTTGGAATAAAGTAGTGGTCATCTAACCTGCTGTCTCTTGTCATCTACTAAATCATGTTTCCTTAAAAGCCTACATAGAGGCAATCCGTGATTTTTTAAAATGCCAGCAGTTTCTTTCTAAAAATACTTGATAAGCGTAAATCCAAAGTACTATGGTTAATTTTCTTTGTAAAGTTGTATAAAAGCTATCTGCCACATAGTAAACTTCATGGATATCAGTTGAGCTCTATTGCAGATGATCCAAAGTGATAATTCATCACCAAGCTTTGGAATAAGCCAAATTAAAGGTCAAAAGAGTCATAAAAGATGGAGTCTGTCTAGATGATTGAGAATAAATATTCCCTTGACAAACAGACATTTTAGCATTTTAGGATGCTTGCATGATGCAGCTTTTGTTTTGACAAAATTGGTATTCTCCCTTTGGAATTTACAAAATTGCAATTATCCACCAGAGTCAACAAATCATGTCAAACAAAATTTCCCATAATAGCACAATATGGCATCCATTTCATCCAATCTGAAGCACGCAGTTAATCACTCTCTCACTGTATGCCTAACTCATAATGTTGGCCTTAAAAGGGTTGTCCATCCAGTTCAGCCATATATTTGAAGCTACGAACATTAGGTACTCACGGAATAAATTGATGTTGCAAGCTTGTAACAATGAAGTGCAAAATTTTTAAAGAAAATAGCACGGCAAAGTATCTAAGCCTTCTGAGGAAGGATAACAAAAAATTGATTTACTTTATGCGGACAAATAAGTTTATGATGTCTTCTTCATCAGCTTGACCATTATAACAGTTTCCACCATAAGCTTTTATCTCAGAACTCCAAGAAAAAAGATAGTTTCAACTACCAATCAGTTCTCATACCAGTCTTCCACTGAATTTTAAATCAAATACTAAATATTAGAAACAAACAAGTAGCTAAAACACACCTGTACATTAGCCTCTCAATAAAATCCTCTTCCTTCATCCTTAAAAGAGATTGCCGAGTTTCTTCCCCAAGAGCAGACCAGAAATCCACTAATGTGTCACAAGAAAGCCTGGCAGTATGCAATGCACATGTTTCTCTTGTTCCATGTGCCCTACCAAAACTTGCCATTCCTTGACTTATCCAACCCCGACCTCCCCCACCACAGGCATCAGGATAAAGCAATTCCCGCTCCCGTTCCCTTGCACGTGCACTGTCGAAGACCTAATTAGATAAAAAACATCAGCAACACCAACCACATGCATAGATGCAAATTACCTGCACGCAGAAGAAATTTTGCATGACAAAACTTATTAGAACTAACATTTTGCAGTCCTTTGAGAGACTTTGAACACAAATAGCAGTCCAGGAGTGTTAATGATCCATCACGCGTTGTGGTTAGACCACCCCAGGGATGGACTGACGGATCTTGAATGTCATTTTGGCACCCATTTGTCATAATTGATCCACCGTCATTTTGATTTTTTGAGGCTACAGTTCTGTTGCTAGGAAGCTGTGCAACTGTTCCATCCTGCAGCATAGACTTTCCATACATAACAATCTGCAGAAAACCTTCAAGCAGTAGTCCATTGCATCTAGAACAATACATGTTCTTTCGAGCTTGCTCAAAGAGGGTCTGCTTATCAATCCTAAGGAGCTCCTGCCGTGCTTGCAGTGAAAGGTCACTCCAGAACTAAGTACATATCACCAAATTAGCGGCTTTCATTTCACAAGTTGTACAAAACCAGAAGCCCAAATATATTCAAAACATGTAAATACCAATACAAATTCTAAAATCATCAACCAATACTCGATAAGCCTGGCCTAATTGATGCACTAAATGATATAAACAACTAGAAACCATTTTAAATCAATTTTTCAAAAAAACTGCATCAAATTTCACAATTAGAATTATTAGTCACATGAAATGCCATTACCTTCACTAGAAAAAATTACACGAAAATGCAATCTAATTCAACGAATACTCACGAAAATGGCCAATGATATTGCTATTATCAACCTACTTACCCAATATCATTATATACCAAACAGTTACAAGTTCTCAATCGTCTATTGCCATGATATATCACATAGAACACAATAATACACTAAACTACACTGTAATTGGATCTAATAAATAAAATACTCAAAGTTCCATCAAACCAAAACCCCTGAATAAATAAATTCCGCCTCAAGATCCAATCAAAATTCAATCGACCCATTTCAATTCAAGCAAAACCCATTTGAAAACACTGATCCAATTCACTTTTCATTCAATAAACACAGACCCAATCACAAAAAATATTAAAAAAACAAAAAACTCTAGTACCTTCTGCAACTGATTGTACCCAACATCATCGCTGTGTTTCGACCAGAAACCATTAGCCGAAACCGAGTAAGCATTACTAAATTGCTCATTGTTTCTCTGCGCCTGCGCTAATCCTGGCATATTTTTTTCTTGTTAGTCAAATTAAACTCATAAAATTCAATTCATTCACCAATTTTTTTAATTCCATTCATGCCCTTCTGGTTGCAACAATATTACGATCAAACATCGATCTCAACCGCAACGTTCCCGTGAAAATTTCACAAAATGGGGTCAAATAAAACGCAAAATTGAATCGAACCCATGCCAACGAAATTGAAGATCGATTTTGGATCGAAATGGGTCGAATCTAACTGGATTGTACGGACAAATAAGCAAGAGATTGGAAATGGAGAAAAGGGTCAAGTCTTTGAGAGGTTTTTGTTTGGTTTGTGTGATAATGATGATGAGATTTGGAGCTGCGTTTATATTTGTAGGGAGAGAGAGACAATGAGAAAAGAGAGAGGGGCTTGGAAAATTGTAATGGTTATAATGGAGAAATATTCATGTAATTTTTATTTTTATTTTCTCTTTTTATATTTTTTTTAATATCACAATTTTAACTGTCACCGTTAAAAAATATGAGTAATACAACACATTCAAATCCATTTTATCTCGTGACAACTTTTATTTATCTCATAAATGTAGAAGACGTGAAAAACCGACCCTCACGAAATATCATATCAAGTTTAGTACTATCGTATTAGTGTTCGAGCATACCATAAGATCTCATATAACATCATATATCTTATCGTAAATTGTATATTAATATCAAGTTATATTATTTTATCTTATGACGATTTTTAATTTGTCTCACGATTAAACATGTCTAAATGTACAAGTCCAAAGTTTCAATGTTTCGAGACGTTTTACAAACTAACTTTCACAAAATATCATATCAAGTTTAGCATTGTCTTATTAGTCGTCAAACATACCACATTACTCCAAATAATTATCATAACTATCATTATATTGTTTATCATATGAATTTATCATTTAATAATATCATATTACATGTCATATCATTTTCTTACTGTGAATCCCAAGTTCAATTTAAATTTTTAATTTGCTCAGTAATGTGTAATCTTATATGGTAATTACATCTTACATAATACTACCATATAAGTTTCATATAAATCCACTATTTACACGTCATTGTTCCATATCATTTTAATGTCATATTTACGTGTCGACACTATATAATAATAAATATTATTTGAGATTAAACTTGGGATAAAAATTCAATGTATAGTGTTAATTTATGTATAGTAATTTTCATATACGGATGTCTTGAAATTTTTAACATGTAGACGAAGACATGATAACTTAAAATTTTAGAATATCCGCACGTCAAACTTTTATGTATTATATACTATTTTTTAGATAAATTAGGATATTAGTTGTTGAGATATTGAGTAATTCATTGAACAAAAGAGATTAGCCTTAGGTAAACCTTTTCACCATTGTATTGCAATAAATTTATAACTATTAATTAATAAATAAAAAAATTAAATCAAATATTACAATTTACCATATTAATTTAATTAAAAATAAAAAACTTATAAATAATGTTGATGAAATTGTACTCAAAATATTAAAGATTATTAAGGAACAAGTGACGTTTTTTAATTTGAGTTTTTGTTGATGCTCTATCTTACAATGTGGTTTATTGAAAATTTTATACAATTTAATTTTAAGAGGTTTTAAAAAAAGGTTTAAATATGAGTTTTAAAAACGTTCGTTAATGAGCCTTTATGAGCATGTGGTTTACTCTTGAAACAATATAAAGTAACGTGAAATCAAACAAGTAAATACACAAATATCAAACTAGTAAAGAAAAAGAATAATACACGCGATTTACTTTAGACCCTCGAATGCGTATGCATGAGCCTTTATTGTTGAAATAGTCGACAACTTCAACAGCTCTCACGAGAAAATTATAAATATTTATTTACATTTTAGAAAAAAATTTAAAGAAAATCAATAAAAATTATGGAAAATTTATTCATATATTCTTTTGTGTATCAAATTCAATGAAAATAATAAATTGAAATATTTAAAATGGTATTATTGACCTTCATTATATTATAGTGTCAATATAAAAACATAGACTTATATATTTTTAAAATATAAATGACCTTCCTTATAAGGGAGATTTTCTAACTAACTCTAAGAATATTCTTGAAACAATATTGGAAATATTAGGTAGTTTTTTTTTTTTTAAAATAAAATAAAATTTGAGCAATTACAAGGAAATAATTCTATTGAATTGTAAATTTTCAGTCTATATTAAACATACACAATTCTTTAAATAAATCTTATTAACATCTACTTACAAACCGATAATTATATAAACAATTTGAACGAGTAATATTACCTATTATGAGTAACGTTATTCTCTAACGTTTTTTTTATAACATGACATATTCTATTTCTAACTTAAAATATTTTAGTTTACGACTCATTCGAAATTCATGTTTTGTTATCGGGCCTTTTTTCGAGTTTTTTTATTTTATTGTACACAATGGGGAGAAAATTTGAGGTGAACATTTATTAATAATAAAGGATTTGTCACCATTAAAAATAATGAGGATCTATTTTTATTTATTTATTATGACAAAAAAATGTGAAATAGTGAGGACATAATGTCTATTTAGTCAGTGAATGTGTGCCCATTAATTACGAAATTGCCCCTGAAGTTCATGTACCCGTACGGCGTTACTGTTGCTAGAAGATACCAAATTTTTCAAGTCCTATCATATGTTGACACGTGTCTCAACGGAACGAAAAAATGTCTTATTTAGTGAATATATATTTTCCAACTCTTTTTTGAAAAATAATTCATAAAATTGATAGAATTTTGATAAATCTTATCATTCCTATACTTTGAGAAAATCTTATTATATAAATTTATCAATTTATTTTAGGGCAAAATATTTTCAAATTGAAAAATAGTTTATTTTGAAAAGTTTTATATGCTATAACCGTCTTTTTATTTTATGGACGATTTTACCCTTATATATGAAACTCAATTTCTTTATCTCTTATTCATCTATCCAAACACAAGTTTTTTCCTTTATCAACTCTCTACACACGTCAACATCAAATAATTCAAGTATCATACATTTAACATTCAATTAAAGATATTTATATTGCATGTGTCGGCGATTTGAGGCTAGAGGTTGAAGACAATAATGCCTGAATCCTAATATCCCGACGACGTCGGATAATATTTGGCTTTTATTATGATGCTCGAATCTTGATATTCAGGTGATGTCAAACGTAATCAAATGAGTTGGGGTTGGAGGTTAAAGACGACTGTGCCCAAAAAATCCCAATATTTAAGCAATATTAGGTGATGTCAGACATTTTTTAATGTATTGTGTTTAAGGTTAAACATATAAGTGTAATTTTGTTTGAAAATTACTTAAAATACCTAAAGATTAATTTGAGAAATTAAGATGAACACGTTTCTAATTAGATTCTCATTTAAAGATAAAGCCATAGAAAATTTCTAATACATCCAATTTAAATTGTCTCGTTTGATGATAGATATATGATGTTGTCATTTTGTGTAAAAATGTCTAATAGAATTTCAATATAGACATTATTACTATATAATTTCATTTTGTCATAAAATATTCAAAGTTTTTTTTTTTCCTGTAAAATAATCTAAGATGTTTTAGGTGGGATTATATTATCTATATATCGATGAAATAAAAATATATCATAATAATAATAATAATAATTCTCAAGTACGTATGTTATGAAATCTTTAATGTATAAATCATTTTAGATTCGACTATATAACGTGAAATACATGTGGCATTTAACTCTTTCGGTACTCTAGAGTAACATATATAATGTGTACATTTTAAATTGCTAGTTCAGATAACCCTTTTACAACCAAGTCTAATTCGACATAATCTAGATTTAACATCAATCATAATATAAGGGTAATGTTATCCCTCATATAAGGGTTTACTCATTTATTAATTCCTGGTTAAATCGCTTAATATGAAATGTAGGAGTGATCTGGTCCAAATATCTGCCCTTTCTTCAAGGAATCGGAATCAGAACCGATCGATTCTAGTTTCTCAATAGTTGGAATTGGAATCGAAACCTGAAAAAAGGCTTCGATTATGTTCTAGGTACTATGAAAAATTACGAATACCTCCCTCATATTCACAAAGATGACAAATATACCCTTAAAATTACAAATACACCTCTAATAATTTACAAAAATTATAAATACACTCCAAGTACCCATCAACTCCACCTGGGTACCTGAACCTCGATTTCGGTTTCGGTTTTAGTTCCTGAAGTGGTGGAACTGGAACCAAAACTACATAGTGCCAGTTCCACCAAATTTGGAACCAAAACTGACCCTTTCCATGCCGGTTTTGGGTAAGAATTGGAACAGAAACCCCAGGTACCCGTCGATTCTGGTTCTACTCGGATTTCTTGCTCACCCCTAATGAAATGCATTAACGGTTATTGAAAATTTTTACATGCCCTTGTGACATAAAAAAACACATTAAATAAGTATTTCGGATTTTGATTCAACCAACTTCCTTCCTAGTTCCTATTAGCGTAGCATCAATACTTTTCAACAACAGTTAAATAAGAGTAAATAAAATAAGCCCCTCATATATATTATTGGATCATATGGTCCATATTAGTATCAAAACAGTGTAAAATGTGAAGAGTACTCTCCTAAGTCCAAGTCTCTCTCTTTCTCCATTACGTTTGATCAGTTTATAAGCTTAGACAAACACCTCCTAATTTCTTTCACAAGTTAAATATAAAAAAAAAAAAAAAAAATCTGTACAAGGATTTAGAGAGCTGAAAGATTAATAACACACAAGTATAATATCGCAAAAAAAAAACCAACCAAAATGTGTCTAATAACACCAAAACAACCTATCAATTCCAAAAATTGGTGGGGTTGTTGAAACTTAGTGAACTCTCATAAAGGCAGATGCAATGACCGTCGTTTAGACAAAATTACGTTTAAGACAATTTGACTCATTGACACCTTATATATTCCTTTCACAAAATTACAAAAAAAAAAAATAGAAAAAAAAAAAAAAAAAAAAAAAAAAAAAAAAAAAAAGGAAGTTATCAGTCTATACAAAGATTTGGAGAGTTGAAAAGATTGATAACACACAAGCAAAAGACTAAAAATATCACAAAAAATTCAACAACCAAGAATTAGTCCTTGTCTAATAATGTTTATGCTAACAACATCAGAAGAATGATCACAAAGCCTGGACTGTAGAAATAGATGTGAATTCTGATTACAAAACCTGAAAGTTACAGATTGATTACATGAGTAAAATAAGATCAAATTTATGGTCCTGCTGGTTTTGAGTTTAGAAGAGGCTGAAGAGCTTTCACAACAATTGTCATGTTTGGCCTAAAATCTGCTTCATATTGAACACACAGTGCTGCAACTGCTGCAAGCTGAGCCATTCACAAAAGCCAACCAATGTCAAAAAAGGGCTCAAAATTGGCAACAAAATTGCATCTAAGTGTCATTTTAACAACAGAAAGTATTTTCATACAACATGATGCCGTCAATGAGAGGATGTCATATCAGAGCGAGTGGAATATACTTGCTCTTTTATTGGTTTGTTATATCGCATCACGTGGTGTGATAGAATTTTCTAACAATGTGTTTTGGAATTTGTTTTCACTTTTGCTGTAAAGTAAGTCATTGCACCTAGTATAAGACATCTCACATCACTTGGGAAGGAGGGGGTGTTACAATTGGTATTAGAGTCAATCCCAACAAGAAGTGTACGGATAATCAAGAGATCTCGCCTGACCCAAGAGGGATCGCAGCGAGGAAGATGGATCCTAAGGGAGGGAGATTAAGACATCCCACATCGCTTGGGAAGGAAGGGGTATTACATAGTATACAACCAATTAGAAGAGAATCAATGGATTTCTCTTCGGGGGTTATTAATCCTTCCTTCCCGAAACATGCCAAGATGACCAATCAACCAATCTTGGGGTAAAGGGCTTCTTCAAAGTTTGCTTACTTCAACTTATTTATTATACATGGGAAATGAGACTCAATCCAGTTTTACGATGTATAATTTTATTTTGATATTATGTTAACCAACCATTTGACTTGAAAACTTAAGATCCTAAAGAACTGAATATGAAATATCTAGTTTAATTAGAAGAGATAATAACCTTGGCAATCGCCTTTGGCGGGTAATCGCTATTTAGCTTAGGATCAACACATTGCTTCACCTTGTCTTCACTCAATCTTGGAGTAGCCTGCAGATTTAAAGTATGAATTAGAGGCATAAATGAAGATAATTACACAATGAATGCAAAGAAATAAAAAATGCAGCTAAGAAAACACACCCAAGTAACAAGACTTTGTTGTCCTTTTGGCATTGTATGATCTACTGGCTTTCTTCCTGTCAATAGCTCTAAAAGAACAACTCCGAAACTATAAACATCGCTTTTCTGCGTTATCTGTCCTGTCATGGCATACCTGTTACAGATTGCTAGAATTTTCAGAAACCAAAAGGAGAATAATGCTAAATCATACGTCAAGAAAACAGAAGCTCATAATTCACCACGTAAATAGGGGTATTCATCATTTTGAATCGAATGGATTTTACCAATAACCAAACCAATCCGATGTTTGTTCCATTTGGAGAATCTACATTCCTTACTGTCCATTACATCATGCAGTATGGAAAAGTTGAATAACTTGGTAAATTAGTTAGTAGACAAGGAAAAATGAAGCTTACTCAGGAGCATGGTAGCCAAAGGTGCCCAAAACTCTAGTCGAATGCAGTCGAGCTGCAGTGTCAGATGACTGATTCGTCAAGTTAAAATCAGCGATTTTAGCCTTAAAATCATCAAAAAGTAAGACATTGCTCGATCTAACATCGCGATGAACTATGGAAGGTTGAATCTTTTCATGCAGATACTCTAGGCCTTTCGCTGCACCAAATGCAACTTTAACTCTCTGGTTCCAGGTTAGAACTGGACCAGGTTCAGCCCCTTGTACACCCTTTCTCCCTGCATCACAAAATTACTCTTCAAGTGAACCAAATGAACAATCAAACAAGAAAGAAAGTGCAATGAATTCAACGATTTAGCCAAGCATACCATGTAATACATCATGTAAAGACCCCATTGTCGCAAATTCATATACCAATATGCGGTTATTCGCCTCCATACAATACCCCAGCAACTCCACAAAGTGGTCATGTTTAAGCCTTGAAACTATTGACAACTACATGATCAATGAGAACAAACTGCATCAAAATCAAGTGTCAAATAGATTCATTATGCTGAGAACAATGTCACGAAATCTTACTTGTGATGCAAAATCCGAATCTGGTTCTTCCGAGGAACTGGTATCTAGCTTCTTTATTGCTGCAGGGCCACTATTTAACTTGGCATAGAACACTCGGCCATAAGATCCTTCACCAATCAAAGCCTTGGTACCAAAATTGCTAGTGTGCCTATTTAACTCATCCAATGGAACAGATGGAATTTCAATAGGCAACACCTTTTGAGGAGCTCCAGTTTTCACCATATTGGAACTCCTTGGCTCTCCTCTTTGGCCACCTATCAAACACATTGGCAACAATTCACAGAAAATGTTTATACTTTCAAAATTTTCCACATTTTCAGTACATTCAAAAACTGATATTGCAGTTGCCAAATCCAATCAAACATATCTTCAATTGGCATTCACCAAAATGATAAATTCCTGCTCTAAAGTTAACGTACATATACCAACATTATAGTAACAAATAACAGCATATCAGTACTAATTGCCGCAGAAACTATTAGATAAGGATAAAGAAGTTTTCTCATTAACTGTTCATTCTCATACTCGTCCGAATGTATCCTACTATTCATATCATCAAGTATCGTAGAATTTTTTAAGACTAAATAGTCTAAACAAATTACAATATTGAATGTTATTGAATACCACAATATGAATACTAATTATTGCGAACAATATTATAAGAGAATAAAGTAGTTTTTTCAATAGCTGTTCATTCTGGTGCTCGTTCGAATGTATCATAATATCGTTGACTATCGAAGAATTTTCGACGTAAAATGAAAAAAGAAAAAAATTGAAAGAAGTTTGGAAATAATTACCACCAGCATTGGGGTTGCCTTTAGGTGGGGCTGTGTTTTGGCTAGGCCTAGCAGGGGGGCCTTGTTGCTCCTCCTCTGCACCTTGACAGCAGAACATAATTCAAGTTGTTGGTGCAGCAATGTCAAAATCCCATGTAAAATTTACCCTCTTGAACTTTTTTTTATTTTATTTTTTTGTTTAAAATTAGCAACCAGTATTTTCCCTCTGTAATTCCTGTAAATCATCCATGCCAAATTCAAGTTAACATATAACAAATTAAAAGAATACCGCAAAAACCAACCAACAAAAAGAAAAAACGAAAATCAAGAACACACACATTTCCTTTTTTAATATAGTTAATACAATCAAAATTTTGTCTTTCTTCGATAAAAAGAAGAAACTGGGTTTTTTTTCGATATAATCAAAATTTTGTCTTTCTTCGAGAAAAAGAAAAACTAAAATACTTATCCATTTTTTCTATATTTTCGACGAGAAAAATAAACGAAACATTATAAAAAAAATGAAGATCCATATATACATACATACGTGCATACATACATAAAGAGATACTGATAGATTCAAAAGAGATAAACAAAATGTACCTCAAAATTAAGCCTGTGATGCAATTGGAGGAAGAAGAAGACGAGAAGAAATTATTTTTTTGTTGTGTCCTCCTCTAATGGCTCTTGTGTTTTTGGCAACAAAATGTTTTTTTCTGTTTCGCGGGAAACTCGGATTCCTCAGTTTAACCAATAAAACTAACACCAAACCTACTTCTTCGTGCTCTCACGTTTCCACGTTCTAAGTACTATCTAGCTATTTTAATTTTTATTTATATAAAGAAACGTTGATCCAATAGTCTAGATTTTGCATGATCATCATGGGATTTTGTGGGTTGGTTTAAATGTCAACCGTTTGATCATGAATCATGCAATGTTAACGACTTAATAACACTATCAAATTGATTGATAGAGAAGTGTTGAGTCACCTTGGGTAAACATTATCCGAGCCCAATATAATCAAGAGCAATGCTACAGTTACCGAAGAATGCACACTGAATGACGTGACGCCATCCTGTTTTCTTAAAAAAAGAAATTCATAATTAATCGATGGTCAGGATGGCACCATGTCATTCGGTGCGTGAATTCGGTGCGCATTCTTCGGTAACTGTATTATTTTCTTATAATCAATACAACATTATCGGTCTAGTATCCTAGTCTAATGTGACATTTATCATATTTTAGTCGTGTCTTATTCTAAAACAATGATTTTTTTTTTCTATATTAATAAATGAATTGTTGTAAAGTCTCACATTGCTCTGTGTGAGAGGGGGCGCGTGTATATATAAGGCTATAGGCCTTAACCCAATATGACGCGTTTTGAGCCTAAAGCCCAGAAACAAAATCGTGAGGTCTTGTAGTGCCAAGCAGACAATATCATGTTAAGTCATTTATAACACGTTGTTAGCACGATCGCGATTTGGGGGGGGTGTGTGAAGTCCCACATCGCTCCATGTGAGAGGGGGTGTGTATATATATGGGGCCTTAGACAAATGTGAAGAAAATTCCTTAAAAATTCATTAGGGGTAAAATGGTCTTTTCACTCATAATTAGCTGAAAAAGTGGGAAGTGAAATGAAGCAAAATAATGTGAAGAAGATAATAAAAATGAGGGTATTTTGGTAATTGACTAAAGGATATAGATGAAATTTCATATAAAGTGCAAGGGCAAAATGGGAAGACATGGATATAATATTAGATACAAGGTTTCATTAGAAGAAACCTTAGCCATATTTCAACCCTTGTACACGCCACCCTCACCCCATTTTCTCTCAATTTTCTTCACTAAATTTCAAAGGGAACTCATAGGATTTGGCTTGAATTTTTATAGATTTTCAATCCTAAAGCATCCAAATGTAAGATTCTAGCACAAGTTGTGTGATTAACCTTTAAAGTTTTAAATTCTTATGATTTTTATATGATCTAGGTTCAAGAGGAAGAGACTTTTAGCAAAGGAGCTGATATCACACATTCAAGGTAAGTAAACCCCAATTTCAGCCTTGATTTGAGCAAGACTTGTGTAGAATGGTTCTTGCATGTTTTTATGTGATTGTATGTGAGAATCGTTGACTGATTTTTTATATTGAATGATGTGTAATTTACAGCCATGAGAAGTAGTGTATGAGTATATGGTGATTTGGTGAAGTTATGGAAGAATTAGTGTTGAAATTTTGAAGTGTAGAGATTTGTTGAAATCGGCCAGGTTTGATGCTATAGTTAGTGAGTTTTTGCTCAAATTTTTGGTAGATTTAGAGAGACGTGAAAGTGTAGCCAACTTGGTAGTTGCATGTACATATGAAGTGTTTGATGAAAATCCAAAGAGAAAATGCATGCATGAGTTGGCTAAACCCTATTGAAGAAAGAGATAGAGAAAGGCAAGAATTGAAGTAGAAAGATTATGTTGGGCTTAACCAAGTGTAAATGTTAGTATTCAAGAAAGCATATTGTTATGCCAAAATTTAGAATATCACTTGGTCATGTTAGTTCCATGAGAGAAATGACCTTTAGTGTTTGGTTCTAGTTACTTGAACCTTTACTACTTCTTGAATAGCACATAAAAGTGTTAGAAAAGAATTGTATGTTAAAGTTTCCTTTGATATGGTGATGAGACCCCTTTGGTGCACGTCTTCAGTCGAAGGAATAAGAGAGGGAGTAGAGGATAAAATGGCACTTTTTCTGCTGAATGAGCATGGGACAGGTGGCATCCTTGGACTGGGTTTAGAATAATTATGTTAGAGTGAGAGTTATGGGTAAAAAAGGTTGACAGAGAATATTTGTGGCATTGAAAAAGTAAAAGGAAATTGAGTTGGGGAGGTACTGGCCCTCGAAGCCAGTTGGTCATTCTTAGTGATTTCTTTTCTTTAATTTGTTCTTTGGTTAATCTGCTTATTGTCATTCACTATTCATTTTTTTGTTGTACTTGGTGTTTCTTGTTGAGGATTGTATTGGTACTTGCTTGAATATTAATAGTAATACAGAGGTATTTCAGAATGTTTGGTTAAGTGTGCTTGCATGTTGTTGAGGTGACTGTGAATTCTGGAAATTGTAGTGCATGAGTGGTTTTTGCAAGTGGGGATAAAAGAATGGTTCTAACAAAGTGGTATCAGAGCATAGTGACGATTGGGGAATGGTTGGAACAAGAATGGAAAACAGATTACATGTTGTGGAGAAAGACATGGGAACGATGAGAGATTGTTTGTTGGAAATCCAAGCTTGGATTAGACGCAAGATGAGGAAGAAGCTAAGAGAGCTGAAACGGGTGGTTCGACAGAAATTTCAGTGAATACTATTTCAAACACGGAGGAGGAGAATGGGGACCCTAACCCAAATACGAACGACGAAAACACAACATCTGGCCGAGGTCGACCAGAATATGTTGGCCAGAAAATCTAGATGCCAATATTCGTCAGTGAGGATCCTTAAGGGTGGTTGTTCAAAATCGAGCGATACTTCAATGTGCATCACTTGGTGGAGGAGGAAAGGCTGAACACGGTGGCTGTGTGTATGGAGGGAGACGTGATAAACTGGTTTCAATGGATGGAAATCCACGCTCCAGTCACATCTTGGCTGACGTTTAAACTCTCCCTTCTTCATCGGCTCGGTGGATCCCAAGAGGGTGGTCCGTATAAGGCAATGATGGGAATCCGGCAGATTGGGTCCATGGAAGACTACCGTCGTAAATTTGAAGCTCTGTCTTCGCCATTAAGAGATGAGAAGGAAGACTTGCTGTGGGCTGCTTTCTTGAATGAACTCAGGCCAGAAATAAAGGCTGATGTCAGATTGGGCCAGCCCACTTCCATAATTCAGTTAATTGAATTGGCCCAGAAGATAGAAGAGAAAAATTGGGCCTTGGAAGAATTGAAGAATGGGTTAAACAAGGGTGTAAGGCTTGGAGTGAGTAGTGGAATTAATAGGATGACTTGGGCTTATAGTGGTGGTTAGGGGTGAAAAAAAAAATCCGAAAACCGAACCGGACCGAAAATTCGGTTTTTTCTGGATTTCGGTTCGGATATTTAAAAAAACCGGATATTCGGTTCGGTTTCGATTTTTTTAAAAAAGAAAACCGGTTACCTGAAACCGGTTTTATAAACCGAAATGTTTAAAAAATTATGGCATTGTTATTTTACTTTTTATTTGCATTTGCATTTGGCATTTGCAATTCAAACCCTAAAACGCTTTTACTGTTTTACACTCTCAGTCTCTCAGACTCTCACACTCACAGTCTCAACTTCACAGTCTCACGATCTCACTCAGTCAGTCAGTCTCACTGTCTCAGACACTCACTTCAGACTTCACTACCTTCACGACTTCACCTTCAGTCTTCATCAGTCTCACTACTCAGTCAGTCAGTCTACTCCAGTCTCTATTCTCCAGCTCGGCAGAAGGCAGTCCACTGCTCCAGTACGAGTCGTCGAGTCTACTCCAATCTTGAATCTTCACTCTCCATCTCCAGGTCGGCAGACGGCAGCTCCACTGCTCCAGTACGAGTCTACTCCAATCTCCACTCTCAGCTCGGCAGACGGCAGCTTTACTTCCAGCTTGGCAGACGGCAGCTTACTCTCCAGCTCGGCAGACGGCAGCTCACTGCTCCAGTACGGTAGTACTAGATCTCAGACGCACTGCGCCGCGCCGTACTCAGACAGTCACCTGACCCCAGTAACCGTTAGTCTCTCTCTCAAACTCTGAGGTCTCGTTCAGTTGCAGTTTCACGCCGGAGGTCACGCGGTCACGCGGTCACGCCGGAGTCTCTCACTCTCAGTTCTCAGATCTGTCGCCAGTCGCGGCACCATTCTTCTTCCTTCACAAGTCTCCACGTCATCGTCTGTCTCCGTGGGTGAGCAATTCTTCTTTGGCTTTTTTTTTTGTATTGTTGGTGAGTCGGTGACCATTGACGGGATGAGGCAGGCTGATATTAATTTTTTTTTTAAAAGAAAAAAACTCAATTAAGGCTTATCTCAAAATAGTATTAAAGGAAATTCCAAGAAACAAAGATTAAAGAAGGTTTTCAAGAGAGTTATATCAATTTATCGTGGCAATAAATCGTGTAAAGGGGTTAAAGAAATGGATTCAGAGAGAACAATG